CATGAAATTGTTTCTAATTTCCGGGCTCGACTTGCCCTCGTCACGGTGATGATAATAGTGATTATTATTATTGTTGTTGGGCTTGTCTTGGCGTTGCATAAGTAATGCAAGTGTTTGTGATTTTCTAATCGTCTTGTTTGTCCGTGTGCTATACCACAGTTAGACTTGTGTGTGTGTGTGAAAAGGCCATGTCAGACTCGTTTTTGTAAAATATTTGGCTTTTGTATTGAACAATGCGACGTCCCTGACCAGTCTGAATTTGGCATTGATTTTTTTTCCCTCTCCCCCTGTGTTTGCCTTACGGAGCCCTTTAGGAGAAATGCTTAAATGCCAGATGCACTGGTTGGGTGGCTGGGCTGCGTTGGGAATATGGGTTGGGTGGTTGGACTCTATTGGGTAGATGGGTTGGGTGGCTGGGTTTGGTGCCTGCATTTGGTAACTGGGTTGAGCGATTATGTGTGGTAACTCACGTGAGTGGCTGGGTTTTGTGACCGGGTTTGGGTGGCCAGGTTATGGTGACTGGGTTAGGCGAGTTTGATGGCTGATTTTCGTGGATGGGCTCAGTAGCTGAAATTAATGGCTGCATTTGGAGGCTGGGTTTGGTGGCTGGGTTTGGTGGCTGGGTTTGGAGGCTGGGTTTGGAGGCTGGGTTTGGAGGCTGGGTTTGGTGGCTGGGTTTGGAGGCTGGGTTTGGAGGCTGGGTTTGGAGGCTGGGTTTGGAGGCTGGGTTTGGAGGCTGGGTTTGGTGGCTGGGTTTGGTGGCTGGGTTTGGTGGCTGGGTTTGGAGGCTGGGTTTGGAGGCTGGGTTTGGAGGCTGGGTTTGGAGACTGGGTTTGGAGGCTGGGTTTGGAGGCTGGGTTTGGAGGCTGGGTTTGGAGGCTGGGTTTGGTGACTGGGTTTGGAGACTGGGTTTGGTGGCTGGGTTTGGAGGCTGGGTTTGGAGGCTGGGTTTGGTGGCTGGGTTTGGTGACTGGGTTTGGAGGCTGGGTTTGGAGGCTGGGTTTGGAGGCTGGGTTTGGTGGCTGGGTTTGGTGACTGGGTTTGGAGGCTGGGTTTGGTGGCTGGGTTTGGTGGCTGGGTTTGGTGGCTGGGTTTGGAGGCTGGGTTTGGAGGCTGGGTTTGGTGGCTGGGTTTGGTGGCTGGGTTTGGTGACTGGGTTTGGTGGCTGGGTTTGGTGGCTGGGTTTGGTGGCTGGGTTTGGAGGCTGGGTTTGGAGGCTGGGTTTGGTGGCTGGGTTTGGTGACTGGGTTTGGTGACTGGGTTTGGAGGCTGGGTTTGGTGGCTGGGTTTGGAGGCTGGGTTTGGTGGCTGGGTTTGGAGGCTGGGTTTGGTGGCTGGGTTTGGTGGCTGGGTTTGGTGGCTGGGTTTGGTGACTGGGTTTGGAGGCTGGGTTTGGAGGCTGGGTTTGGTGACTGGGTTTGGTGGCTGGGTTTGGTGGCTGGGTTTGGAGGCTGGGTTTGGAGGCTGGGTTTGGAGGCTGGGTTTGGTGGCTGGGTTTGGTGACTGGGTTTGGTGGCTGGGTTTGGTGGCTGGGTTTGGAGGCTGGATTTGGTGGCTGGGTTTGGAGGCTGGGTTTGGAGGCTGGGTTTGGTGGCTGGGTTTGGTGACTGGGTTTGGTGGCTGGGTTTGGTGGTTGGGTTTGGAGGCTGGGTTTGGAGGCTGGGTTTGGTGGCTGGGTTTGGTGGCTGGGTTTGGTGGCTGGGTTTTGGAGGCTGGGTTTGGTGGCTGGGTTTGGTGGCTGGGTTTGGAGGCTGGGTTTGGAGGCTGGGTTTGGTGGCTGGGTTTGGAGGCTGGGTTTGGTGGCTGGGTTTGGAGGCTGGGTTTGGTGGCTGGGTTTGGAGGCTGGGTTTGGTGGCTGGGTTTGGAGACTGGGTTTGGAGGCTGGGTTTGGAGGCTGGGTTTAGTGGCTGGGTTTGTAGGCTGGGTTTGGAGGCTGGGTTTGGAGGCTGGGTTTGGTGGCTGGGTTTGGTGGCTGGGTTTGGAGGCTGGGTTTGGAGGCTGGGTTTGGAGGCTGGGTTTGGTGGCTGGGTTTGGTGGCTGGGTTTGGAGGCTGGGTTTGGTGACTGGGTTTGGAGGCTGGGTTTGGTGACTGGGTTTGGTGGCTGGGTTTGGTGGCTGGGTTTGGTGGCTGGGTTTGGAGGCTGGGTTTGGTGACTGGGTTTGGTGACTGGGTTTGGTGGCTGGGTTTGGTGACTGGGTTTGGAGGCTGGGTTTGGTGGCTGGGTTTGGTGGCTGGGTTTGGTGGCTGGGTTTGGAGGCTGGGTTTGGTGGCTGGGTTTGGTGGCTGGGTTTGGTGGCTGGGTTTGGTGGCTGGGTTTGGTGGCTGGGTTTGGAGGCTGGGTTTCTTGGACGGGTTGAGTGACTGGATTTGCTGACTGGGCTAAGTGACTTGATTTGGTAGATTGGTTTAGCGACAGGGTTTGGTGGCTGTATTTGGCAGCTGATTTTCCTGCCTGGGTTTCGTCAGGGGGTGGGAAGGCCCCCTCCGGTGCTAAGGGTGCTAAATTGTCATATTATTTAATTGGTTTCAAGTTCCGTGAGTGCCCGCCACAGGATGGATTTCAATGGTCGCTCGTCGGAGTGTGTTGGTGACCAACTATTGAAAGAATTTGAACATAAGTACTGAGTGAATCCCAGTATATAGAGGCTCAGGGGATTTCACAGGTAAACCGCTCATTATGACACGGCTGTCATTACCATCGCGAGCCTGGCAGCGGGGGCAGTGCCGCCATGCTCGCGACTCGCTGGATTCACACGTGACCTCGTGTCCTCCGTGCTGATTAATAGGCCGAGTGTGTGCACCTGACCACTCGATCACATCGATATGCCACTGTGTGTGTGTGTACGCATTTATGCTCACTTGTGTATATTTATATATGTACGCACAGGTATTTATATACGGGCAGAGCCCCGGGTTACGGAAGGGTGAGGTTCCCGCGAACGATCCGTAAACCCGAATTTTCCGCGTGTCGTCGAAAACTGAACAATTTTCCCCCACGATCAAGATAAAATCCCATAGCCGGAAATAGTTGTGAGTGACAAAGGACTTAATTGTTAGACGAGCAAGAAGGAGAGGGGACAGGCATTACATTATCGGGGTCAACATCAGCAGTCGGAGGTTCCAACGGCAGGGCTGCAGCTCCCTCTGCAGCCCTGCAGAGGGAGCTGCAGCCTTGACATCACGCCTCGTGCCCGCCGCGGTATTCATCAGCAACCTCACCGCACTGCACGATTTGCGCTTAGGGGGCGTCCATAAATGACGTCACGCGATTTTGGACGATTTTTGACCCCCCCCCCGCCCTCGTCACACGGCGTCACAAAAAGTCAGACCCCCCCCCCCCCTCAAATTTGACGTCACAAGCTCTGCCCCCCCCCCCCCAAACCATATTTGCATTTTGAAAATAAAACATGCTTCAAATCGCTTTAAACTGTCGTCATTGTAGTGCGTATTTAATGTGGCGCTGCACTCTGATGTTGTAGGAGAAAACACGTATTAAAAAGGAGGCGTTCGAAAGCTTAAATTTAGCATAAAATTCACTTGAAAATATTCAACGTCTAACTAAAACTGCAGATGTTTAGAATATGATATTGAAATTATCCTATAATTATAAAATATTAAAAGTTATTATAACTATAAAAAAAATACTTGAAACTTTGTAGTAGAACGAAGCAAAATGGAGAGCACAATTACAACAATCACGTGTTCATTACACAGAATGAAAAGCCCTGGTAGAATCATTAGAATCAAAATGTTTAATAACAATCATTAAGAAAATGTTCAAAATGTATGCTTCTCCATTCTCCCATGGAGACGCAAACATGCACCTTCATGGAATAAATAAAAGGTGACCTTAGTAAATTTAAATAATCAAATAGTTAATAATGAAAATTCATCAAAATTAGTGTTGTTATAACAATTCTATATTTATTTAAAGTTGCGCATTTTGATGTGACGTCACATTTCTCAACCCCCCCCTCCCTCGTCACACATCGTCACAAATGTCTGACTACCCCCCAGGTGCGTGACGTCATTTATGGACGGCCCCTTACGTAACTAACGCTAACATTTCCGCATATCGAGTTTTTTAGTAAGTCGGGGTCTGCCTGTGCTCTCTGTGGAATTATGCACATTGAGTGATTTACCGATGACCAAATAATTGGCAAAGCGCCCGATCTCATGCGATCTTCGGAACTAAGCAGGGTTGAGCCTCAATAGCACTGGCATGGGTAACCACTGTGCATCACAGGTACTATAGGTGGTGGGGCTGCGTGGCAGGTAGCAGAGAGCCAATGTAGCAAAATCCACTGTTGTACTGCACTCCAATGCACCCACATCTATGCTGCCCGTCTTCATCAGCCGGCACTGATCGGTGTGGTGAAGTATGGTCACGCTTAGTATGGCTTGGGGAAGCCTTCATCCAGCAGTGGATTGACAAAGGGCTGTACTTGTGCATTGAGTGCTTACTAGGTCTGAGTTTCTTATACAACACAAGGACCCGAGTTTGACTCCTGGCCTCTGGCCCTGTGGGTCACGCTTACTCACCTGGCAAAGCCTCACTGGAGGGCCTTGTAATTGTGAATTGTATACCTTGTTATGTAACGATATACACTGGACATAAAAGAGCACGTTGCATTGTAATTGTGTGCAATGGATGTTAGAGACACAATGCGTAACTCATGTGTGTGTGTGTGGGGAGCGGTTGTGTAGGGGTTAGTGCACTTTGCTATGAACCCGGAGACCCGAGTTCGATTCCCGCTCACGGCCAACACCAGTGACGATGATCAGAATTGTTCCTGGAGCTCCCCTCAAATGAGTACCTGTTGTCGTGTGTAAACATTGCCACTGGGGAGACAAAGGCGGCCGGGCGTGGTGCTGGCCATTCACCCTCTCGTGTGCCGTGTCGGCCTTCGTAGGTGGTCACTAACAGCGCTTGTCCCAAAAGTCTGTTGAGGCTACAGGGGGGATCTTTGTCTGTGTGCGTGCATTGCGTGCGCCGCAGAGGAGAGCGTTTCTCCGTCCCCGCACGGAGGAGCGCGCGACGGCAGTGGCGACGAGCACACGGACCCCGGAGGCGCTGGCGGCGCGGCCCCCCAGGACAAGAACCGGCGTGGGCGGACCCCCAGAGACTCGCCCGGGCAGCAGGCGCAGCACACTCAGGCACGCGCTGCAGCACGCACCAGCAGCACGCACCAGCAGCACGCACCAGCAGCACGCAGCACGCACCAGCACGCAGCACGCACCAGCAGCACGCAGCACGCACCAGCACGCAGCACGCAGCACGCACCAGCACCAGCAGCACGCAGCACGCACCAGCACCACCAGCACCAGCAGCACGCAGCACGCACCAGCACCACCAGCACCAGCAGCATGCAGCACGCACCAGCAGCAGCACGCAGCACGCACCAGCACCAGCAGCAGCACGCAGCACGCACCAGCACGCACCAGCAGCAGCACACCATTGTTTGTGAACGTGCGCACACGTGTGTGTCAGTGCGTGCATGCATCGGTTTGTGTATGTGTGTGTAGTCGTGCAATCATTGCTGTGTGTGTACTGTGTGTACATACACACACACAGTGCGAAGCGGTAGTGTAGTAGTTAGTGTGCTGCACTACGAACCCGTGTGACCCAAGTTCAATTCCCGCTCACAGTCAACAGGAGTGATGATCATCTGAGCCGGTCCTGGGCCTTCCCGAGGTTGACTCAGCCTCAAAATGACTACCTGGTACGATGTGTAAACATCGGCACTTGGGAGACAAAGGCCGGGTGTGGTGCTGCCCGTGCCGGCCTTCGTCGGTGCTCGCTAACAACACTTGCCCCAAACAGTCTGTTCAATGCTTTACGGGGGTTTCTTTGTCTGTGCATGTGTGCGTGCGTCGTTCCAGGCGTGCAGCCAGTGCGGGAAGGCATTCCGTAGCGGCAGTGCCTTGAACAAGCACTACCTGTCGCACAGCCAGGAGCGCAAGCACGTGTGCGAGGTGTGCCACAAGGCCTTCAAGCGGCAGGATCACCTGTGAGTGCCATGCTGGTCTCGCACTCACTTAGGCCTCCGCCGGCATTATCGTCATCATCGTCATCAGCAATCTCCATGACTGTTATCATCGCCGTCACACATCGCCTCCTACTGGCAGGCTAATACCACTTGCAAACCAGCCCGCCGTACAAATTGTGCCGCACAGGGACAGCTGCCACCAGCGGTGCTCTTCGTGTGCAGGTATCTGCGCGTGCGTGCGTACGTACGTGCCCGCGCGTGTGACACCAGTCTGCCGTGCCACCGACAGGGCGAGCCACATGGTGACGCACCAGAAGAGCAAGCCCTTCTCCTGCTGCGCCCAGGGCTGCCTCAAGAGCTACTGCGACCTGCGCTCGCTCAAGCGCCACTACGAGTCCCACCACAAGCTGCCCTACCCGCCCGAGGGAGGGCAGCCCTTCCCCGCGACCTCCCCCGCCGTCGCGCGCTCCGAGGCCCACCAACCGCCTCCCGACGGGTGCCCCACCGACGCCAAGGCTCCGCTCAATGGCCTCGACCCTCCGTCGCACTGCCCCGACGACGATCCCACGACACGGTTATCGCCGCCGCCGCCGCCGCAGCAGCAGCAGCACCGGCCGACGGGCGACGCGGCACAGACGCTGGATTCCGCCGGCCTGCCGGACGACCCCGGGGCGTTTCAGCTGCGCGTCGTGAGCGTGACGGTCAGCGCCGAGTACACGGAGGGGGTTGCGGCGGCTCAGCCGGATGCCAGTTTCCTGCCGCTGCCGGTGGGCGGCCACGGCTTGCACCTCGCGCCGGCCATGCCACCGGTGCAGCCGGCGCCGCACGATTCCCAGAACCACGCTCCGCCGATGCCGCGGCAGCAGCAGCAGCAGCAGCGGCAGCCGGACGGCGTGGGCTCTGCGCGCACGCCGGAGCTGCTCTCCGTGCCCAAGCTCCCGGAGCCGGCGCGCCCCGCCAGCTGGCCCCACCCGGCCGCCAGCCAGCTCCTGCTGGCGCCCCCGGGCGAGCCCCCGCCTCCGCCTCCGCCGCCCCTCCCCCCGCCCGCGCAGCACGGCCCGTGGGCCGCGGCCTCGTTGACCCAGGGGGCCGGCGACCGCCTCCTGCCCTCGCTGCCCGCGGGCGCCGATGGGGCGGCTGCCTCCCGCAGCGGCCAGAAACTGGACTCGTTTGTGCAGGCGTTCGCCAAGAGGAAGCCGGCCGTGCCGGGCGCGGTGCCGAGCGGCGCGCCGGGCCCGCCGCTCCTCCTGTCGGTGTTCGGGGAGAGCGACCTCGGCGACCTCGGCGACCTTGGCGGTGGCGGCGCCGTCGCGCGGCGGGCGGCGGCCATGGAGCAGCTGTCGCCCGTCGGGGCGCAGCAGTTCACGCTGCCTTCCACGCACGGCTGTCACCAGGCGCAGCAGCAGCAGCAGCCGCCGCCGCCGCCGTACGCGCTGCAGGTGCAGGGCAGTCTCCCTGCACCGTTCCACAACCAGCAGCAGCAACAGCAGCAGCAGCCACACGATGCGTACAGGACACACGAGTTCCAGCAGATCCAACAGCAGCTCCTTCATCAGCATCATCATCACCCTCACCATCATCACTCGCACCATCAGCTGCAACAACAGCAGCAGCAGCAGCAACAAACTATGCAGACTTTGGAACAATCCTGGCAGCAGCAGCAGCAGCAGGTGCAGCAGGTGCAGCCAGTAATGGCGCAACACAAGATAGAAGCCATACAGCAGCAGCAGCAGCAGCACTTTCCGGCAATGTCCCTCCATCAGCAACCTCAGCACGGCTACCTCCGGCTGGCGCCACAGACGACGCAGGCGTTTGCGCCGGCGCCCGCAGAGCGTCCGCCGGCCTCCGAGTGCGGCGAGCCCCCGAGGCTCGGGAAGCCGGGCGAGGCGCGCCGCACGTACGGCGCGCACTTCCTGCAGCCGCCGGTGCTGGGGCAGCAGGCGCTGCGCCCGCCCCACGGCGGCGCCAAGCTGGCGCAGCAGCACGCGGCTAACACGCAGGTGCCTGTCAGTGTCTCGCCGGGGAATGAGAAGGGGATGAGCGAGTGAGGGAGGGAATGTATGTGCGTATGCTGAACTTCTGTGGCGCCGTACGGAGCCCACCATGCTAATCGGAGTTCCGGGGGAAGGGCAACAAACTCAACACGTAAAATAAATAGTGATCATTTTGAAGATTTGACAATGAACAAGATATGCTTAACACTAATGACCTGCTTACTAACCATCAAAACATGATCTGGTTTCCAATGTCTCTGTCTCGAGACATTGGCATAATTTGAACGTAGCCCCCATTACCCCCTGCCCACCAAAATGGAAAAGATTGTTGGAAGATAGTGAGGGCATATGTGTGTATGTTGAACTTTTTTCGCACTGTGCATAACCGACCGTGCTAATTGGAGGTGCAGGGGAAGGACAACAATCAGAAAGCGTGCGATGCTGTGACCGTTTTTGTTTGATGGATAGCCAAAAGCCACTGCGAGGATGACCGGAGTTTGCATGATGGTGTATGCTCCTTGACAAGAATGAGTGAGTTAGCGAATTTTGTGGGAGTTAGTGACTTGTGTGCGTGGACAGGCAGGCGGGCTGGCGAGCCATGAGGCGAGTTAGCGACGGAGAGACTCGGTGATTAATTTATTGAGTGGGGTGAAATGGTCAGTGAATATGGGAGTTGATGAAGTGGTAAGGTGAATGAGTGAGTATTTGAACGATGGTGAAAATTAGTCAATGAATGGGTGAATCAGTGAGTGAGTTAATGGGAGAGAGAATGAGTTGAGCGCCATTGGGCGCTGACTAACGACGTTGAGAAGCCCACCTCCACTGGACTGACCCACCCCAACTTGGACATCTGTGAAAAAGAGATTCATAGCTCATTAAACTCCTGCAGGATAAATGGGGGCACCACGGTGGCGAGATGTTATCTCCCTCGCCTGGTATACAGGAGGTCGTGGATTCGATCCCGATGCCGACCCTGACTCCTGCTGTATATTTGGAGTTTGCGTGTTCTACTTGTGGTCGTATGTATTTTCCCTCCCCCCCCCGTTTTTCCCTTTCATATTTAGAAACATGCTTAGAGTATTTGCCTGCTAGAAATGGCCACGTAATAAGCCACTTCGAGCTATGGGCCTTACCTGATAAAAATCATCTGGCGGCTTTAGAGGAAAGGGGGCGCCGTATTTTCAAAAATGCCGGATAATCACATCATTTAAAATAGCTTGTTTTTGCACATTATTGCATAACATTATGTTTTTAGGTGTTGTGTGTATGTGTTTTAGTGTTTTAAATGTTTTACTATATGAAATTGATATAAATAAATAGACAAAAATAAATATCCTACTGTTAAAAGTTACTGTATTTACCGTACTTACCACTCCATTATCGAAGACTCTGCATGAGGTGATGTACGTACTACGCTCTTGTTCCAACTACCGTGTGTTTGGCGATCGCCGGACTAGTACGGCCTTTGGAGCGGTTTTGCCGGTTTCGCCGGATCGGCCCCGAACCGCCAGATAATGTTGGAAGCCGGATAATCACGCACCGGATATGATCAACTTTTGTTGAGTTTATAGTTTTACGTACCTTCTATCACGGTCACCCATTCCTCATCCCTTGCACGCCTCTGCCATCTAAATAATTTCATCAAAAATAGTTTTGTTTGATTCTGATTCTGGCTTTGCTCGTGCGGCTCGTGCAGTTCCAGCCAGTGGCGGGCACGGCGGGGCCCGGCCCCATCTCCGTGCGCCACCTCCTGTCGTCGCGCCTCCTTGCCCTCTCCGCTCACCGTCCGTCGGCGCCGCCCGACGGCTCCGCGCACGGCCACACCTGGGCGCAGGTGAGTGTGGGGCCCGAGGCTTCGCACGTCCGGTATGGTTCCCTCTCCAACCAGCCAGATGGAAGTTGCCGTGTGGTTACAGAACACCGGGAAGTGAGTGTGGCGTGTGCAACTGTGGCGTGTGTGAGTGGTGTGTGTGACTGCAAGCTGCGGTTTGGCATGGAGATCTCGCTCTGAATCGGTCGAGTGGCATTATCTTTTCAACAGTTGCGTAACGCTGTGTGGAAGCTACCTGGCCTATCACTTCATGCAAAGCTCTGGGTCATCTCAGCCACAGCCCTCCCTTTTCTATGCTTGCAAAACGTGGAGCCCTTTAAAGGAACATCAGCACTGGTTTTAAGCATTCAGACTGCCCTGCGTACAATCAATCCTGGGTTTCACCAAACTGGGTTGTGTGAGGAGTTCACAAACCCTTGCAATATCTGGACACAAATCCCATGAGTATGCTCCTCCGGCAGATGAGACTGCATTGGCTTTGGCTGGGTCATGTAGCCCGCATGCCCAGCCACCGCATGCCCAAGCAGCTTCTGTGTGGCCGCATAGAGGGGGATAAACAGGTGCGGCACGGTCTAGAGAAGAGATGGACTGATGCGGTACAGGAGGATGTGGAGCTGAGTGGACTTGCCTAATGCCAGTACCAGCTGTGTCAAGATGGGCCTCTGTAGAGGAGGCTTGTAAAGCATGCTCCTGGACAGTTGGAGGCAGTCGCCCTGCAACAACAGCAGAGGGTGGAGAGAGGAGCAACCTTCACAACAATGAGTGTCGGGTGGATAAAACACAGCAAGTTGGCACAGTGTGGAGCACAGGTGGTGCATCTGCCACCAGTCATCTCAGTCAACCCATAATACCTGCGTCTGTCTCGTGACAGGCACAGCGAACCGTCCTCACTTAATGTAATGGCCTAAAAGTGCACCTAGCCTGGCACAAACTCTGTTGTTGTTGTTTTGTGACTGCAGAGCGTGTGTGTGACCGTTGCACTTATCTGCAAATGTGCTGACAAAGTTGCAAGTGACCGCATCCTACGACCTCATCACGTGACTGCGTGACTGCGTCACGTGACCGTGCCGTGTGCAGGGCCTGCAGAACTCGGTGCCTCCGCTGCCGCCACACCATAAGCCGACGTCTCCCGACAGGTGGAGTGAAGCGCCCTCTGCACCATCGCATCACCCCTGTCCGGCTGTGGATAATGTCAGCTGATAATGGTTCTGGGCTTCTCCTAGATGGACTCCGCTTTAAATGGGTGCCTGGTATGGTGCTGTAAATGTTAGCACAGGGGAGACAAAGGGGAGTGAGCTCCACGTATTAATTTGGAAGCGTCCGTCTGTGTGTATGTGGGGAGCAGTAGTGTAGCGGTTAGGGAGCTGCGCTACGAACCAAGCGACACAGCCAACAACAGTGACGATTATCTGAACCCTGTCCTAGGCCTCCTCTAGGTCGACTTGGCCTCAAATGAGTACCTTGTGCGGTGTGTCAAAATATCGCCACTAGGTAGACAAAGGTGATGGCCACCCACTCCTTCGTGTGCCATGCCGGACTTAATAGGTGCTCGCTAGCAGCACTTGCCCCAACAGGCCATTGAGACGTTACCGGGGGATCTTTGTCTTTGTCTGCGTGCAGCGTCTGGGTGGCTGGCGATGGCATGGAACGTGCGGCCCTGGCGTGCGCGTTGTGTGGCCGTGCCTTCCGCAGCCTCCCCGCGCTCAACGGTCACATGAGGCTGCACAGCGCGCGGCCGCCCGCCCACGCCGCCAGGGTGAGAGATCGGACACCGCCACCGCCTCCATTCTCATCGCCCGCTGTTCCCCCCGTCGCCGTCGCTCGCGCTCACCGTCGTCCCCGTCTCGTCCTTGGCAGGATACGGACGGCACGAGAGCCCTCGCCGTCGCGGACGCGCAGCCCCGTGGCCTCGAGCCGGCGCTGCCGGCGTCCCTGCCCGTCCTCGCCGCCCCCCTCCCGCTTTCCCTGCATGCCTTGCACACAGGCGGAGAGGGCGACGGGAATGGCGTGGTCGCCGTGAAGGCCGAGCCCGAGACGCCACCCGTGTCGCCGCCTGCCGAGAAGGTGGCGGCGCCGCCCAACGGGGACCCCTGCGCGGTGAGGTTTACGCATCGCACCCGACGCACCGCGCCCATACCACACCGCACCCACCGCACCCAACGCACTGCACCCATACCACACCGCATCCCACCGCATATTGCAGGGCTGCACCTTTACTTCTTAATATTTAATATAAATTGCCATCCTTCCACCCGCTAGGAGACCCTCGGCCTCAAGAGCCACCCAGGAACGATTCCGGGCCTCGCGATCGGCAACGGGGGTGGCGCTCCCGGCTCCACCGTGACCCCCACCGCCCGCACCACCGACACGCAGCAGCAGCAGCAGCGCAAGCAGCGGCCGCGGCCCCAGCCGCTCATCCTCCCTCCGGCGGCGGCGGCGGCGTGCGGGGCACCCCCACCGGGCCTCGGGGGGCTGCCCCCCCAGCAGCAGCCGCCCCCCTCAGGGGGGCTGCCCCAGCCGCCGGTGCTCTACCAGAGCCAGCTGCGCTCGCCGCGCCTCGCCGACCTCATGGAGCGCTCCCCGCTGGAGCCGCCGCCCTACACGCCGCCGCCCATGCTGAGCCCCGTGCGCCAGGGCTCGGGACTCTACTTCTCCACGCTGCTTTCGGCCTGTGCCGGCGGGGGCGGCGGCCCGGGGCCTCCGCCCTCGCTACTCCTCACGCCCAAGGCGCCGGCGACGCCGCGAATCCTGCTCAGCCGCTCCAGTGAGTGGCTCTTTGGCCCACGTCGTCGTTCCATTGCCGAGGTGGAGGCCGTGCGGAGACATGAAGACCGCAAGATGTCGCAGCGACGCTAACGCTCGCCGCGTGTGTACTTGCGGTGTGATGGCCGTGCGTGCAGGCAGCTTGGAGAGCTCTGGACCTTTTTCCTGCTACGGAGACGACTCCTCCATCAGCATCGAGCCGTGAGTTGCTCCGCCCATGTGTTCATTGCCCCTTGTGTGCATGTGTGCGTGTGTGTGTGTGCATGTGTGTGTGTGCATGTGTGTGTGCGTGTGTGTGTGCATGTGTATGTGTGCATGTGTGTGTACATGTGTGCGTTAGTATAGCAGTTAGTGCCCGGCGCTACGAACCCGGCTACACGAGTTCGATTCTCGCTCACGGCCAACACCAGTGACGATTATCTGAACCGATCCTGGGCCTCCCCTAGGTCAACTCAGCCTCAAATGAGCAGTTGGTATGGTGTGTAAACATCGCCGCTGGAGAGACAAAGGCGGCCGGGCATGGTGTTGGCCACCCACCCCCTCGTCTTCCGTGCCAACCTAGGTGCTCGTTAACAGCGCTTGCCCCAAAAGTTTGTTCAGGCTATACAGGGAACCTTTTTCTTTGTCTTTGTGTCTCTAGGTGGGGAGCGGTGGCGCAGTGGTAAGCACACTGCGCTACAAACTCATCGAGCTGAGTTCGATTCCCGCCCATGACCAATAACAGTGGCGAATATTTGAACCGGTCATGGGCCTCCCCTAGGTCGACTCAGCCTCAAATGAGTACCTGTTGCGGTGTGTGAATATTGCCACTGGGGAGACAAAAGCGTCCGGGCGTGGTGCTGGTCACCCACCTTCTCGTGTGACCTTCCTAGGTGCTCGCTAACAGCGCTTGCTCCAACTGTCTATTAAGGCTATCAGGGCGATCTTCGTCTGTGTATGCCATTGTAACGCTTACGAGTTCATTGTGAGTGCGGATGCCTGTGTGTCAGCTGATTGCCTAAACTTCTCGCCCCAAACAACCTGTAAGACCACGCACGTTTGGGGGGGGGGTGGGAAATCTTCTTTGCCTTTGTTTAGGCGCATCAACATCGGCACGCGGTTCCAGGCGGAGGTGCCGGGGCTGTGCGAGCGCGGCGGGCCGGGCGGCACGCACGGTGCCGACTTGCTGTGGCAGCCGTGGCCCTTGCTGGAGGACGACGCGGCCACGCAGCGCCAAGGTGCCGCTCCCACTGCCGCGGCCCTCGCACCGAAACCGCCGGAACGACTCACCGCAGCTGCGCACGCGCCCGCCGCACTCGCAGTCCCTTTCCGTTGTCATCGTCACCTTTACTCTTAGTTTTTTCGGTAAAGTCACGTACGTAAAAAATGAAATAAAAATTAATAAAAATTAAATAATTAAAAATCACGACGTTTCGGAGGCAACACAAGTCTCTGTCATCAGGTGGGACCGTCACAGCCAGATTTGCTGTATCAAGTGAGGCAGGGATTCCAAGATAACTTCCAAAATAACTTGCATCTTGGAATCCCTGCCTCACTTGATACAGCAAATCTGGCTGTGACGGTCCCACCTGATGACGGAGACTTGTGTTGCCTCCGAAACGTCGTGATTTTTGATTATTTTATTTTTATTAATTTTTATTTCATTTTTTACCTACGTGACTTTACCGAAAAAACTAAGAGTATGAATCCTTGCAGTCACGGAAGCTTCAAATCTAGAATCGTCATCTTCATTATTTTTCCGTTTTTTGTTGTTGTTGTGGCAAGAACACAAGTCGCGTACAAAGCGTCGATGGTTTCTGCGGGAGGGTGACAGAAAAAGCGCCGCGGTGGGTGGGGGGGGGAGAAAAGGGTCAGGTCAGGGGAGGAAGTAAGCATCATTCTATGGGGAGATCGGGTGTGGGGACAGGGGTGGAAAAGACACAGGCTCTAGATCGTCCAACATACACGTGTCTTCATGTGTTGGGGTGACAACCGATTTTTCTGGGTTTTGTTTTTTACGCAGGAGGAGAGTCTCAACTCTTTTTCAGGAGCGTGCCGCTAAGTTAACACGATGGGCACGTGTCTCCCGATTGAGCAATTAGCCGGTAATTTTTTTAAAACTTGGCCTACTCTTTCATGTCCACCTTAAATCGAACGTGGTGCACTTGATGGTCAATGCACTCGCAGTATCAATCAAGGCGGTCTGCCCCATCGGAACTCCGAACCTCTGCATCGAGTGGTGAACGCTCTGCCACTGGGCTACGTCACCGCCCTCACCCACACTCAGGTTCTGTTACAAACTTTAGTTTCATATTCTTGGTTCTTTCGGTAAAGTCACGTAGAAGGGAAATAATAAAATAATACAAATTTTACTATAAAATTCTCACGACGTTTCGATTGCAACACAAGCAATCATCATCAGGTGTGAAAAGTACAGCAAGAAATGTTTAGCTGAAGTGGGAGAGATTATTTTATTATTTCCCTTCTACGCAACTTTACCGAAAGAACCAAGAATATGAATCCCTGCAGTCACGAAAGCTATTAATCGAAAATTAAACTTTAGTTGATACGGAGCCTCGGAGTGTCACCCTCGCGCTAACAAGTATAAACATTCACAAATTGTCGGTTTGATTGGGCCCTCTTTGACGAATGTTGGGAGTGCGATTCTTCTTCCGTATGGCTGATGATGTAAATACAGAGCAACAACTACGATGTCTCGTTCAGGTGGTCAAGTCAGACAACCGCGTCAGTCGATTCGCAGCAGGGTGGCTCCACAAATGAGGCAACCTCCGTCAGCATTTAAAAAAATCATTCCTTGTCATGCACGTGGGGTGTCACCTTGAAGGTAGTTTTAGAAATATGGCTGATTTTCGGTAATGGCTTGGCATGTGCACACAGATAAAAACGAGTGTGTTTGTGAGTACGCGCATCACAATGGTAGTTGAAGCGTTTTCTATTTCTTTTTAAGAAAGGTGAACAGTCAAAATGGATGGTCAACATGACATTCGCAAGGACACCAGGTGGTTTAGGGAGGCCTTCATCCAGCATTAATTGTTCATGGCTAATGATGGTGATGATGATGATGATGACCGCTCAATTGATTGGTCTGTATTGCTTTATGTCGATATTGATTCCCTGCATCGTTAAAGTGTGTAAAATGGAACTGCCCTGCTGAGCAGCAACATTCAGCGATTGCCACTGATAGAGCCTTTTGCTCAGGTCTGGTTCACGCCATGCGTGTTTTAATATTTACCGAAAAAAATAAATGTGCATGTTTTTGTTTACGTGAGCGTAGGCAAGGCCCCTATTTAAACAGCTTGGAATGTTGGGACTTCCCCCCTCCCATGGGAAGTTTCGCCTCTCACGTGCCGTGTGAATGATTGCCATGTGAATGCCATGCGATTGCCGTGTGATTCCGAATTCGATTCTTTATTTATATACGTTTCACTTCTTTCGTGCCGTCCGTAGCCAACCGTGCTAATGGGAGGTGCGTGGCAGGACGACAAACTAAACACAAAAAGCAGTTCTAGAGATATGAGTTTTCTCGCGAAATCAGTTTTCATCCCATGAGCTTCATCGGAGGAATCCGATGAGCCGTGAAGCTCTTTTTTCACAGATGTACGGTAGGATCGCCATGTACATGGCGTGCGGTTGCCGTGTTAATTGCGCGCGCGGTCCTCCCTCTATACCCCCTCCCCCCCCACCCCCCAGTGGAGCAGCTTCTGGCACTGGCTTCGTCGAGTGCCGTGCCGGGCGGCGGCACGAACCGCGAGCTGGCGCTGCACGTGTTGCACCAGGCGCGCGGCGACGTGCTGGTGCGTACCGGCGTGGGAAGACAGGCAACTATTTGTAGCAATCTATTTTTATTTACTAGGTAAGGCCCACTGAGCTATATAGCTCGGTTTTTCAGAAGCGACCTGGCCACAAATCATAGCTCAACAAAGTGGCTTAACATGCGTAAATGTATAGCAGCCAAATACTATAGACATGTTGTTTCTAAATGTGGAGGGAAAACCCAGAGGAACCGGAGAAAAATACACACGACCACGGGAAGAGAGACAAGAAAACTCCAAATATGCAGGCATCAGGGTTGGGACCGAACCCACAACCTCCTGCAAAACAGGCGAGGGATAAAAACATCTCACCACCGCAGCGTCCTATCCAGCAGTGGCTTGCAAACAGAGGTTGCAATCGGGTACCCGATACCCGTACCCTACCCGATACCCGGCTACCCGTACCCGGCTGGGTACGGGTACGGATAAGCCGTGAGTCACTGATGAGTAACCGTTTGTCACTCATTTCCCAACGTCTTGTCTCTTCTCACAATTCAAGTTCCTAGAATCAACCCACCCGCGCCTGCAACATGTCTTCATCCCAGAGGTCGCAATTGGGTACCCGATTGCGACCCTGGTGCGGCCGGGTACGGGTAAGGAATCAAAACCCGTTTGCGACCTTTGCTTGGCAATGGGCTGCAACGTGTGCCTCCAGCAATGTGTGCGTCCTCCCGCAGGCCGCCTTGAAGACTCTGCTGTCTGGAGAGGTGACGCCATGGCAGGGCCCTCACCTGCACGGGTACCACTACGCAGGTGCGCGCACGCGAGCGGCAAGCCACGGCCACGCGCGGGGCTGAGCGGCACGCATGACCACTCTGCACATGTCACCAGACCGGCTGTGGTGTGGCAACCGCTCAGATTTAGTTTGGTGGGGACCACAATGCACTTCTTCAGGAAATGCTGTTGCTGTTTTTTGCATATCCACAGAGGCCGTGTGCTCTGCACTGCACAGCGTACACACCCGGTGCAGCGCACGTAATCACACAGCGTGTAGACACAAGCGCAACACGCATGCACAACCACGGAGCACAACCACGGAGTACAACCACAACCATCCACATGGCCGTGCACACGACACGGCACACAACAACATCTTGCACAATCGTACAGTGCACACAGTACCAACACACACAATCACACACACAAGCACACACAGCTGCACAGCATATGCAACTATAGAGCACGCAAACACTGCCACACAATACACAGACACACACAACCACACAAAGACAAAGATACCTCGTGTATCCTTGACAGAATGTTAGCAAGCACTTATGACGGCCGGCACGGCACGTGAGGGGGTGGGTAGCCAGCACGATACCCGGCCGCCTTTGTCTCCTTATCGGCGATGTTTACACAAAGCACCAGATGCTCATTTGAGGCTGAGTCGACCTACGGGAGGCCCAGGACCGGTTCAGATAATCGTCACTGATGTTGGCCGTAAGCGGGAATCGAACTCGGGTCGCTGTTTTCGCTGCGCAGCGTGCTAACCACGACACTACTGCACACACAACCACATGCACAATCATTGACAGATATTATCTCACGAACAGTACACGGTTTAAATTCGACTGGTCTTCAACAATAAACTGTCCCAGATGCCCTACCGACACCGCAAACACACCAACACATATTTTGGGATTATCAGAGATTCTATCAAGTGATCAGCTATCATTTTAATCACATTCAAAGTTCACAACTGATTCCCAACCCTGCCATTTTTCATTTCGGACTCAAAACCCCCCGACCGACAAAATATACCCAACATTCGAATTTCAAACTTTTAATGCAAGCGGCCGAGAAAGCCATCATTTACCTGGTAAAATAAAAAAAAAGTTGATAGTTTAATCTCTGCGATGTATCTCTGAGACACCTTGAGACGCCATGTCCATTGAGGTGTTGTCGTGTCTGCGTGCGTGCGTGTGAATATGCGCGCACAGGCTCGGACAGCTGGAGCAAGCAGGAGAAGAAGCAGTTTGTTCGCGCGATGATGGCACATGACAAGGACTTCCTGCTGGTGCAGAAAGTGGTACGGAGTGGCCCGGTGGGGGAGGGGCAAGGGGGGGGGAGCAAGGGGGGGGGAGGAAGGGGGGGGGGAGCAAGGGGGGGGGAAGCAAGGGGGGGGGGAGCAATGCGACAGGAGGAGAGACACGTAACGTTGCAGCGGGAGAACGAAGGACAGAGAGAACGAGCGGGGGGTTGTGGATGTTACTCTGACATCGCTGTGCTTGTCCTCCGCTTTGCTTCCATTATTTTTATTTTAAAATTAATCAAATTGGTTCACCAGGAAAAGGCCAGCGAGATTAAAGATCTCGAAGAAACAGGCGGTCTCCCAAAACGTCTGAACCACTCGGTCACTTTTGAAAAATGGGACTCTCCTTGTCTCTCGAGTTCTCGTCTGGTTATGAGCAAAATCAACTAAAAAACTAGAACAGACTAAATGAGGTGTCGAAGGAGAGCACTACAAACACCGGCGCGGTGGAGATCGCGCTCCTCCACCCCGCGAGCCACAAGCCGCCCCTTTGATCAGGACCTCGTCTACCCCATGTCTAGCGGACGTGAAGGTGGACACGTTGAAAAGAGAGCTCCCCTGAATATTGGTGGCAGCGATGTTTAGGTTTGTGTATAGCATCGTCGGTCATTCAAATTGCATCTCAAAGTCGCCGAGGAACCGCAGACAAGCGGGAAAGCAGCCAGGCGGTGACGCGGTGCCAACAATTGTCCAAGCTGTACGGACGGTCCTCGATATTTTAAGTTGTTTTCAGCCAATTGATGATGGCAGTTTATACAACAGGCGATTTTGCCGTTTGCTCGAGCTAATGGTGACTTCTTTAATCTGGGTGGATATTTCCACAACCCACGAATTAATTAACGATTGGATTTGCACACGCAAACATACTATTCATATGCAGTACTTATACAGGCACACATGCCGTACACGCACGCACACATACAAGACAAAGACCACCGTTGAGGAGAATGCTGTTTGCAAGCACCTATTAAGGCCTGTACGGAGCACGAGGGAGTGGTGTGGCCAAGCTACATGCCCTGCTGTATTTCTCTCCCCAGTCAGTGGTGATGTTTACACATAACAGCAAATGCCACTGATGCTAGCACCACATGCATATGGAGATATACACTCACTCACACGCACGCCTATTTGCACACATACGCACACGAGTTCTCACATGCACATGTGGCTATACAAAAAAAATAACTATATTTATTTACAAAGGTAAGGCCCACTGAGCGGCGATGTAGCTCTTTTTCAGAAGCGATCTGGCCACAAATGATAGCTCAATGAAGTAGCTTATCACGTGGAAATTTATAGCAGCTAAAATAATCTCAATGTATATGTTTCTAAATGTGGAGGGAAAACCCGGAGAAAAATCCAAGCAACCACGGGGAGCACATGCAAACTCCAAATATGCAGGCGTCTGGGTCGGGATCGAACCCAGGACCTCCTGTATACCAGGCAAGGTAGTTAACATCTCGCCACCGTGGTGCCCCATACACACGCATGGGCGCGCACACGCCCCGACACATACGTACACGTACGCACAACGTGCACACGCGAGCGTACACGACCAACGCAGAGAGACGCGAGCGCGTAAACTAAGAGGGAATGCAACGTAGGGTTAATGCTATTTATATTTTACGATTGTTAATTAATCAATAATGAATACACTTCAAACACTTTGCTAATTCGTGCTCATTATTTATTCAACAATCAATATGGCTTGAGCCCATAGCTGGTGCGATGTGAAATGAAGGGGACCGGGGCCTTCCCTTAAATGGATACTCTCGCAGCAATTACCGCCTGCACTCCCGATCCAGCTGCCACTGCTCTTTAGCAAACTCACAGAGGTGCCCGAGCAACGACAACAAATCAGAAAGAAAAAAAACTCAACACATTCGTCAATAACACCGTGGCCTTAAGGATATAAAACATGTAACAGGCGACATTTTGGTGGGCAATGGTCCTTCATCGAAGGCAACAGAGAGGCCATTTGAGAGAAAGGGCTACGAAGGGTGGGAGATTGCACTTCACTCCATGGGGCCAGATGAGAATCACATTTTCTAGAAATGTTTCGCAGCAAATCAGGTGGCCTTTTAGAAAGCTCAATAGAAAAATAATGAGCGTGGTTGAAGGGATGGTGATTGATCCGCATAAGAACCTTACGGCAGCAGAGGCGACGGTGGCACCAAGATGATTGCAATGGAATTGTTCTGCCGTGAGCCCCCCCCCCCCCCGTGCGAGAGAGCCCCTCAGTATCAGAATGTTTATTTACATTTTTTTTATTGAGGCAATGCGCGGGCCCCTTACATCACGTTGTGTGCCGCACGTACACACCGTCAACATCAACTCAACCGGTTATGAAAAGCAGGCGATAGAAAGATGGGGTGCGGACTCGCTGCCCCAACCCGAGAGGGGTAAGGGTAGTTTTTTTAAGTAAGGGGGAGGGGATGACTAGGGGAGGGAGGGAGGGAGGGAAAGAAAAACATGAGAGGCGACCTGGACGAGCGTATTTATCTTCCACCCCTCCGAGTCCGGCTCCCGTCGAGTCTGTAGGGGTTATACTCCTGTCTCCCGACCCTCCATCCGGCTGAATTATTTCAGAAGGGGATCATTTGGCCTCGAATTCCCCCTCCTTGCCCTTGAGCTTATACCAAGGTGTGCTCGAAGCATACTGTACCACTGTTTCCAGGAAGGTGGTTCGTGGTTCTTCCAATTAACCAAAATAACGTTCCTGGCTATAACATTGAAGGTTTGGAGGAGAGCGTGTTGATGCCTTGAGCCCGCGGGAGGCTTTGATATCCTCTATTGATGGGAATAGATCTGTGCCACGTAAGTCATTAAAAAAAACCACGCGCAATCTTGCCGTAAAGCTTCGCCACATCCGGGCAATACCAGAAGGCGTGGAGATAATTCTGCACTGAACCTGGAGGACATCTAGGGCAGTCTGGTGATATCTTCATACATTTCCCCCTGCTCTCGTTACTTAAGTATACCCCATGCACAAACTTCAATTGAGTTTGAGGGAAGGAGCTCTTGGGCCTGCTTTAGGAGCTCAACTTATCCTATTCCGAGTCTGCGGTGTGATCTCGTGGAGCGCAGACCTATCCCACAACTTCTTAGTGACTGGTCTCAAGACAGGGTTTCCCCTTTCCCTGGAGCCAATAAGCCTCGGATAGGCTATATTTATCTTTAGGAGTCTCTAACCAATTGATAATTGGGTGAATTAAAATCCCTAAGTCCTTGTCCAGGGATTTCACTATTGCATCCCTAATTTGGCGGTATCTGAAGACTGTGGGATATATTTAATTCGCACCTCTTCAAAGGGTAACACCCCATCCGTCCAAAGATAATATATTTCCTTTATCCTATCCAGGTCGAGGCCTTAACAGCAGTCCCAGCGTCATGACCTTTCCCCCCTATCGTGAGTAAAGGGTTACCCAGTATTGTCGACCGCCCTATGGAGACGGGGTTCGCAAGTAGGCTTCTCATTCCCTACAGCTTGCCCGAGTCGAGGTGACCGCCCACAGCGTTTGTGTCCCTCGCGGTCTGGTCTTGATACTTGCCAGCGCAGATCCCTCGAGGGAGCATGGTCTAGCCGACTCTTGCTCCCAGCACTTGGCAATTACTTGCTCCTGTGTGTCGTACCAGCCCTGTGATATTGTCGACAATCTGGGAGGGCCAGGCCGTCCTAATCTAATGGCTACGTGAGGTGGGAGTAACCAATGCGCGCAGGTTTGTAGTTCCGTATCAATGAAATGATCCTGGAGTGTAACGTCGCAAAGAAGGTCTTCGGTTATCTGAGTGGGGACCATCATGAGGTAAAATCATTAGGGAAGGATCATCATTTTCATTAGATGTCCTCTGTTATATCGAGAAAGGGGGGTGTCTGCCCAATCAGCTAGCAGTGCAGATGTTTTCTGAAGTGCCTTGCAGTGAAGTTGATCGAAACAAGCAAATTCAGGGAAGAGGGCACCATGAGTCCGAGGTCTCTGATATGGTATGGAGAACATTTCATTGGGAGCAGGTCTTCTGGAGGTTTGGGAGATACTGCTGATAGGGGCATTAATTCCGATTTTGTTACATTTAGCAGAATCTTTACTTAGACTGGAGGACGAATTCGTTGAGCTATGAACTAACTCAGCAATTGGCCAGTCAATTTTTATATTTGGAATACGATGCCGGCAACACAACTGTCTGCTCTTCTTCAAATGACGCCACAGTGGACATTTAACGTTCACTGTGAAGCAGAGCGTCATGTGGTTAAGTGGGAAAACACCTCCCATCTCACGGCTTTAGCGATCGCTGTTCTGCGGCTTGGCTCACTGAGATGGTGTTTGCCAAACACGTCCCCGTGGGCTCGACTATTCGGCGACTGACCGCGCGATTCCCCGCCACGTCGTAACTGCACTGCTCGTGATGATGCTGCTGCTGCCGTAGAAGAACGCACACGGTGTCATCTTGTCTCTATCTTGTCTCCCAAGTGGCCCATCGCGGGTCCTAGTTGACTCGGTATTTCCAGCACAGTAGGGTGGGGGCACAGGTGGTGCATCGGCCCAGTCATCTCAGTCAGTCGACCCATGGCACCTGCTGGGTCTGCCCTGTGACCTCCTGCCAGCGGACGTTCGACACTTCACGTGGCCTCAACGTGCACCTAGCCTGGCACAAGCGCCGTGGTGATGTCACCGCCGTCATATTACAAACCGTGAACCAAATCCTATTTTTCTCATTTGCCTTTGAGTTTGCGGATCATGGATTTGCCGATTGCGGCTATTTTCAAGAACGTAACCCCTGCCGTGGTGGGAAAGGGTTTGGTGTACACCCGCGGTATTAACCTTAGCGGTGGGCTCAGCGTAAATCCTGCGGTTAAAATCTGCCAGGCCACGAGCAGCAGCGAGCTAAAGCCAGGACGATCCTGGGAGACTGCAGGCTGATGATTAACGCTTAACAGAGTTGGTACTTACGCTAATAGCAAAAAACACCACCGCTCGGTCACACGCGTGAAACAAGACGAATTTCCAACACCTCACACCAGGCCAACCTTAAGTGTCCTCCCCTGAGATATTCCTGTGATACCCCTCTGTTAAAAGAGAGAAATCATGGGAACTAGCACCGTATTAAAAGTCCGTGGCAGCTCCACCAGTGAGTCCGCTTTCTCTCTGCCTTTTAACCGTCGCAGTCGCAACACTCTTGTAGCCGCTGTCAGCATGAGTGGAAAGCAGTCGAACAGTTTTGGTGTTTTCTATTCATTAACAATGTTACACCGGACAATCCCTCGAGATGGAACGAATCATTTGCAAGGGCCTCCAGTGCTGTCAACTGCCATTTATAGAGAATCCATAATGGCACTTGTATGTACATTGGAAATCTATGACTTTTACAGTTTGCATTTATACAATGCATACCGCACCCAATTAAACACAAAACCAAACACATAAATCCCAAAAATAATGGTGAGCACCACAGCTCCAAACAGAATGCTTTTATAGCTGTAACAGTTGCACATGTCGTGCCGGTGATTTGTGACTAAAGATTTTGGTGAGTTGAGCTGAAACGCCTTCACGAAGCAGTGGCTGGATAAGAAGATGGCGGCTTGGAGTGACAGGCCCAGGTGATAGATGGTGGCACCAGTGACCGGCACAGCACGCAGCAAACAGCTGGCAGCAGCTGGCAGCAGCTGGCAGCAGCAGCAGCAGCAGCGGCAGCAGCTGGCAGCACTAGTAGCTGGAAGGCAGGCAAGCAGCAGTAGCAGGCAGGCAGGCTGGCAGGCAGCATCGCCGTTACATTGAGCAAGCACTGGTACTCATGTTAATGTACAATTATTGTGAGTACAGTAAGATGTTTTCCTTTAGATCTTCAGGATCGACCAGAGGGTCACACAAGCAGTGAGGTGCCTGGGTGGCTCAGAGATCGGAGCGCTAAGCTGCTACTGCTGAGATCCTGGGTTATCCAGGCACCTGCCTTTGGTTAAACCGGGTTCTCAATTTCTGCACGAAAAAAACCCACCACCTTCAATTGAGCTCTGTGCTTAATTTTACTGAATTCCACCTCTGATAATGAAAAATATCGATTTCATTGTCTTGCGATGAACATTGCTCTTGGTGGGGAAGTGTTGCCCCCTAATGTGCAAATCAAGTCACGTGACGGCATCTCAGGAGGTGGCTCTGATATCCACTTACGTGGGCCGTTCTCTAACACGAAAGCTCTGCAAGAGTTGGCTACTTTGACCCAACGATATGACGCTGATGGTGCAATTGGGGATATATTTACTAAACAACAGGAGTGGGAGACCCCCTGCTGCTCCCACGGTGGAGGAGCGGATTGGTTGCCTTGCACCGTGACACACTCGGGGTGGGAAGTAACTGCCTGGGGTCACGCGCTCGCCTGTTCCGGCGACACGGACTTGGAGTGACCGTCGGACTCACTTCCCCCGTGCCTTCCAGCAGCCAAAAGCAGCCAACAGTAGCTCCGTGCCGGGCGTGATGATGCGGCGTGGCACCACCGCAACGCACACGCGCGTACGTTCACGTGTGTGTGTGTGTCGAGCGGCGGGGTAGCAGTGTGCGCTACCATGCTGGCAATTTTTTTTAAATCGGTTTTGGGTGATGCTTTTTGCGTTTAGCTTGTCCTTCCCCTGCACCTCCGATTAGCACGGTTGGCTACTTACGGTGCGAAAGCAGTTCAACATACTTACGATTCCTATCCTAAACATTCGTGACGACCGATTATGATGCATGAACGTCAGTGCCGGGGAGACGGCATGGCTTGTGCTAACACCACGATCCTCGTGTGCCATTCTAACCCTTAATGGATTTTGGTGAGCAGCACTTCCCATCCACAGTCTACAAAGATCAACAAGGGAGGACGACATCTGTGTGTGTGCATGTGTGTGTGTGTGCACGCGTGCGCATGGTGGGGAGCGGTAGCGCAGTGGTTCGTGTGCCGCGCTCCTCTGCAGCCTGAGTTCGATTCCCACTCATCGGTGACGAATATCTGAACTGGTCCTGAATCTCCCCTTTGTCGATTCGGCCTTCAAGTAGCTACCTGGTGTGGTGTGTGTGCACAACGGCGGCAGGGCGTGTTGCTGGCAACCCACTTCCTCAAGTGCTGCGTTGAATTAACAATATTTCTGCTCGCTAACAGCCCCAACAGTCTGTTAAAGGCTATAATAGGGGATCGTTGTGTGTGTGTGTGCCTGCGTGCGTGCAGGTGAAGACGAAGACCATGGCGCAGTGCGTGGAGTACTATTACAGCTGGAAGAAGCTGCTGAGACTCGACCGCAAGCACAGCGCCCGGCACAACGAGGGGGGGCACCAAGGGAACGCGGTAACAGCCACGCGCCCCCCCCCCCCCCCCCAACGCACACAGTAAACATGCAACGTTGGGCCAACGTTGGCCTGTGGTTGGAAGTTCTAGACCAAAGTTGGCCCCATGATTCCATGTTTACCAGGCACACAGACAAAGATCCCCCATATAGCTTTAGCAGACTGTTGGGGCAAGTGCTGTTAGCGAGCACCTATAAAGGCTGGTACGGCACACGAGAGGGTCGGTGGCCAGCACCACGCCCGACCGCCTTTGTCTCCCTAGTGGCGATGCTGACACACCGCACCAGGTACTCATTTGAGCATGGTCAAGCATGGTCAGACACGCGCACTCACAAACGCTCGCACGCTGAGCACATAAAGATTCACATCCCCACAACCACAGAGATCAGATGAATTGTCACAATTTCGATAAAAGAATATTTAAATTTTCGTCCAATTATCACCGTCTCATTTGTATTGTATGTATGTAAATTGCCTGTTCTGTACAATTTTGTTTGCTGCATTAACATACTTTTGACATGAGTTTATTGTCCACGTATAATTTGTATAAATCCTCACTAATTAATTCCCACACCCATGGCTCGATGCACGTAAGAATAAATTTCAGTTTTAATCAATGCATCGTTATGTGCCCAATATATAAACGCGCACACTCGCGCCGCCTTGCGAGTGCCATTCGCGAGCACCTATTAAGGCTGCGACGGCGCACGGCGGGGCTGCGGTGGCCACCCTGCGTCCTCCCGAGCGATGACAGCCACCACCATCTTCCTCCTCTAGCTGCAGCCGGTGCTCGGCGGTGGCGGCGGTGGCGGCGGCGCTGCCAGCGAGGGCGCCTCGGAGGAGGCGATGAGCCGAAGCGGGGAGGAACGCCCGCAGAATGAGGCGGACGCGCTGGGAGGCATCCCGGGGGGCGCCCCCCCGGTACCGGCGGCGCGGCACGCCGCCGTCACGCGCCTCGCCCCCTCCTTCCCGTGCGACGTCGTGGGCTGCCGGGCTGTGAGTGACCGCACGCCAACGCCTTCCTCTCCCTCTCCCCGTCCACCGCGGCGTTGCCCGTCTCTCCCTCGTTCTCCCGGGGCCGCCGCGGACGTGGGCCCCGCGGCTTCGCGTCACGTGGGCCCCGCGGCAGCGTGCGACCCACCGCTCGCTCCCCGTGTTTGTTCGTCGCTCAGGGCACCTTGGCTGGACTAATTGGGGTGCCAATACCGCGTTTCTAGTTTAAGCCCACTCAGTCGCTTGTCAATGCAAGGGCCATTTTCAGTGACAAGCGACTGATTTGTGAACGTGTCGCAGGGAGCGGTGGCACAGTGGTTAGCACACTCGGATTAGCAGGGTTGGCTACGTACGGTGCGAAAGAAGTTCAACGTACGTGCATACGCTACGTTACGAACCCAGCGACGTGAATTCGATTCCGGCTCACGACCAATAACAGTGGAGAATATTCTAACCGGTCATGGGCCTCCCCTAGGTTGATTTAGGCTTAAGTGAGTACCTGGTGCAGTGTGTAAACATCAGCATGAGGGAAACAAAGGTGGCTGGGCGTGGTGTTGGCCACCCACCCCATCGTGTGCCATGCTGGCCTTCATAGGTGCTCGCTAGCAGTACATTCCCTAACCGTCTGTTCAAGGTTATACGGCAGAGGTCGCAATCGGGTACCCGATACCCGTACCCTACCCGATACCCGGGTACGGGTAGGCCGTGAGTCACTGGTGAGTAACCGTTTGTCACTCATTTCCCAACGTCTTGTCTCTTCTCACAATTCAAGTTCCTAGAATCAACCCACCTGCGCCTGCAACATGGCTTCATCCCAGAGGTCGCAATCGGGTACCTGATACCCGTACCCTACCCGATACCCGGCCGGGTACGGGTAGCCGGGTATCGGGTAGGGTACGGGTACCCGTTTGCGACCCTGGTGCGGCCGGGTACGGGTAAGGAATCAAAACCCGTTTGCGACCTCTGCTATACGGGAGGATCTGTCATGGTTCTTTGATGGCCCGCCAAAGGTCTTTGAGAGAGCCATTTGGTCCCATCCCTGCTGTAAAGCTTTCTGCTGTTCTCTCTCATTGTCTCGAAGAGCTGTTTCTCATTGCCCTCATTTTAGGAAAAATGCAATGTGGTCCAAGATTGCATGTCTCGGGGCACGATTAGCTGTAGGATGGACAAGACCACAAACCATTATTTTCTGTAGGCTCAGCATACGACAACCATTGATTTCTTGAAAGACGTTCATCATTCCGCTTATAACTTGAGAACGAACAGCAGATGAAACTATTTGTCAAAACGTAGAAAAAAATCTGCCTGGCAAAATTGCGAGTTCGTTTTTTTTGTTTTGCCAGGATCGTGACATGACCTGGAGAGTGGCCACAAAGGGTTTAATCGGTGGTGCGATTGCTCTCCGGACACATCTATGACATTACAGTGCCCTCTGTTGGTGCGTTGCGAGAGGTCTGTCCGTCGCTCCGCTTTTAACTCGAGAACCAAAAGTAGCGCGAGGGTGAGCCTCGTGCTTCCGTGGTCGCCTTCCTGCGTCGTACACGGCCGTGGTGACAAGATGGCACTGAAGCTGCCACCGAAGTTCGTGTTTTTGGCAATGCAAATGACACGGCTAATTTGGAGCTTTCGTGACTGCAGGAATTACTCTTTGGTTCTTTCGGTAAAATCACGTATAAAGAGAAAAGAATAAATTAAATACTAGCATGCTAGTAAATAATGTATTATTTATTAAAATAATAAATGAAATACTAGCATGCTAGTATTTAATTTATTATTTTCTCTTTATACGTGACTTTACCGAAAAGAACCAAAGACCAAATGACACGGCTTTGCTTTGCTGCTCACCGTGAGTGCCGGGGAAATAGCATCGTACTGTCGTGCGTTGGCATTTTTTTTCGGGTTTTAAGGAACATGCGCCAGAAAAGGAAATCATCATTGTAGTTTGTTTCTCTAACCGGGCAAGAGTCAGGTGCGTTGCCACCTTAGCGCCCTAGCGCAGTGTAATTGCCGTAACTTTCAGGATGGCACCCATGCACTACAGAGCGGTGCAGGCAAACTCCTGCCTTGTAGTGTAACGCTTTTTAAACAAAGCTTCACACCTTTTCCAGACAGCCCGAAACTCACAGCCGAAGTACGTCGCTGCAAGGCGAGAGTCCTTCGTTGCCTGCGCCACTTGCTCATTGGCAACACGGCGATCACGCGATACGTCCATCGCGTCAAGATGCTGCTGCTGCCGCTGCTGCTGCTGCCGCTGCTGTTGCTGCCGCCCCTCTCTCACGCCGCGTGCCGCTGTCTCTCTTTGCTCCGCCCGGCCCCTGACCACAGCAGAGCTTCGCCTCGAAGCAGGCCCTCAACGGGCACGCCCGCGTGCACCTGGGCCTCGTGCAGCCGCCCCCGCGCGCCATGGCTCGCCCCCGCGGCCGCCCGCTCGGCTCCGGCGCCGCCAAAATCGGCGCCGTCACCGCTGCCGCCGGATCGGGCGGGGGGGTCGGAGGGAGCGGCAGCAGCGGCAGCCGGGGCGGCTCCCCCACCGCGTCGTCGACGCACAGCGGCGACGCCGAGCTCCTCGCCGTGTTCCCATGCCGCGAGTGCGGAAAGTACGTGTGTGTGTGTGTGCGCACGCGCACGCACACGCAGATCAAATACAGACACAGATTCCCCCGGAGAGCCTTTCACAGACTGTTAGGTCAAGTGATGTTCACGAGCAGGTATTACAGACAGCATGGCACACAAAGGGGTGGTGTGGCCAACAGCATGCCTTGTAGCACTTGCACTAAGCAGTTTGCTACTGCTCCCCACACATGCGTACACATACATATAAAGAGAAAGATCCACCGTGTAGCCTTAAGAGAATTGGGGCAAGTGCTATTAGCGAGAAACTATGAAGGCTGGCACACCACACGAAGGGTGGGTGGTCAGCACCATGCCCAGCTGCTTTTTTATCTCCAGTGGCGATGTTTACACTTATTTGAGGCTGAGTCGAACTCACGTCGCCGGGTTCGTAGCGCAGCGTGCCAACACGTGCTAACACGTGCACACACACGCATGTACCGTGAGGCAACGTAGCCTTAGACTCGACAGCGAGTCCTAAACCAAGACATTACGCGTGCAGCATAATAATGCGTTCAAACCTCATTCATTTATTGATGAAGAATTCTATAAATACAAATAGAGAGAAACGTGTAAATATACATTTGTATTAAATTTGAGTGATACATCAAATAACTGACTGAAGAAGCTGTGATGTTTTGACTCAAATAGGGGAAATAATTTATTTGGGTTTCTTTTTAAAATATGCAAATATATTTCACATGCCGCTAATGCTGCTGAAAAAAAGCGTAAAATGTTAATTAAAATTAAACGTGACACAAAATGAGTAAATGGTACTTGGGTGTGAGCTCAAAAGTGCCACTTTTATAATAAGTTCTGGTAATTAGACCATATTTTTAATGTCTGTTTATAAAAGTTGCACCTCTTGAAGAGCTATCACAATATATTGCATTTGATAATTGAGCCAAAAGTGTAAATAATTACTCATTGGGCAAATCTTGTTTGTAGTATACAAAAACTAAGAGTGATGCCGATGTAATTGCACGTACAATATTAAGGGCAAGACAAATATTGAAAGTAAATTAACATTGCTTTTGTAAAACAATAGCATGCTGCCCTCTTATTTGGGTGAAAATTTAGCTAAACGATTTATTCTTTGCAAATTTGACATTTAAAAAATGAAAGTAAAGTATGTACATTTTATTATACACTTTGTAAAAATATTGAAGGGAAGAGAAATTAATATTTATTTACATATTTGGACCAAATTTTTAATGAAACAGAATGCAAAGCAATGTTATTTTTAACCAAATTTGGCCAAATGTTCATGTACATTTTTTTATAACATCTGAAAATAATGCACGTATATATTATTTAAAAAAATATGAACATTGAAGATTATGCTAAGAGTAGTGTATGGAATTAATAATTGGACCAAAATGCGCAAATTTTTGGCCACAACTTAACCAACTTTTTTATTTCGTTTTGGATATAAATTGGAACAAAGCATTCACGTATTATAATTATTGCAAATATCAGAGATACATCAATAAAATGTCGTATTTTGATACTTGGGTCAAAATTGGGAGAGAGAAATATGATATGATAGTCATTCTTGGAAGAAATTGGGCAAAACATGTTTTTAAATATGTAAAATGTTTCATTATGTTTTTGGAAAAAACCTAAGAAATCATAAATCACGTCATAACAAGATACATTCTGAAGTAAGTCAATAAACATTGAATTGCATAATTGGGCCTAACCCATTCTTGGCAAATATTTTACCATTTTGTTTTCATAAACAAACGAAAAATAATGTCTTATTTAAAAAAAATCTAATATTGGACATGAGACAATCATTATTGCATTTAATGTGTCAATATAATGGGTACAATGCGGAGCTACTGATCATTTTTGGCCAAATTGAAAATTACGTCTTGTGTTTAGACAAAATTTACATTTATGCATACACGGTTTATAAAAGTTGTAACTTTTAAAAATATGCCCTGAGCAGAGCGCATGTGCGTGGTGCGCGTTTCTCGTCATCTGCCCTCGGACACGAGACTCACCCAACCTCGCTTCCCACCAGGGTGTTCTACAAGGTGAAGAGCCGCAACGCGCACATGAAGTCACATCGGCAGCAAGAGAAGCCAGACAAGCAGAGTCAACAGAAGCAGCACGAGCAGCAAGAGATGCAGCAGAAACAGCAGCTGCAGCTGCAGCAACAGCAGCAGCAGCTGCAGCATCAGTTTCTGGAGCAAATGCTGGATGGTTCGAATCATACTCCTCGGCCCCCATCACTCCTGTGTCCCGCCGCCCCAGACCTTTTCCTCCCATCCATGTGACCTCACCAGGCTTGGCAGATCAGCTGGGAGCTTGGAGAAGAGACGGAGCGATCCCTGGAGGGAGCTCCGTGAAGGATGGGGGGGGGAGGGGGGATGGAGGGGAGAAGGAGCTCACTTGCGTGGAGAGGCAGTGAGCGACGCAAGGGCAGTTGGGAGGCAGGGGGGGCGGTGGGGATGGTGACGAGGGGCTGCACCAGCAAGAGGAAGCGAGGGGCAGTGGGGGGGGGCAGTGATACAGGCTCCCCCAGGTGGGATCACACCTGGAACACCAACTCAACCTCGGCCGTATCTCGAGCCGTAGGACTCGCGTACCCTCGCTTCCCGTGTGCCAGTTTCCCTCCGCCCGAGATGTAAATTCGGCATCGTGCGCATGTTGTGCTGCTGCTGCTACTGCTGCTGCCGATTGGCAACGTCCGTGCCGGTGGAAGACGCCAGGCTGCGGCAGTGAGGGCCGCCTGCCGTTGGGAGGCCTGTGGTCAGCATGAGTGCTTTTACACGATTAGGTATTGAGCTGTTACTTTCATTGTGTTGGGTTTTGTCCCTCGAAGGAGAACGATATCACACCGCGCTGTACATTGCTGTTTTTGGCCGTGGCTGTTTTTGCCGCTCGTGCGTGCGTTTCTATGCTTAGGTTAGGGTGGGTGATAGTTTGTACGTAGGTGGAGTTTATATGGAGTTGAGTTTCTTTTGTAGCTATGGAATCCATGCACTTTGGTACTTTTGAACAGACTTAACTGTGGCAGTTTCTGTACCCCCCGACTGTGATTTCATGCAGTTTTTATTTGAGTATTTTTTAAGAAAAAGATTTTAAAAAGTGAATAGGTTGAGCACCGACAGTGTGCCTCTGCTCCAAGGCGGCGACAACTCTGAATGAGACTCTAATCTCTCAATCCTGCGCCTCCCACTAACACCTCTGTCTCTTTTAGCAACTTTCTCTCTCCCAGCAAATATTTTTGTAAATTCTCCTTCATTTTCTCTCTCTCTCTGTTCACTACCTTCCCCCTTTCTCTCTCCCACCCACTTTCAGGCTCTCTCTCTCTCTGCTGGGTGTTCGTGCCAAACGTCCTCTGCTGCTGTGCTATGCTTGAGTACGTGTGTCGTGTTTGTGTATTACCTGCCTGTGTGCCGGTACAGCATGAGGGAAGTGTGGTTGTTGGGCAAGGGATATTTTTAGGATGTGGGGAACGTTTCTGGGCACCGGCTGAAATGCAGGGTGAGATTGGCCATTGTTGGGTAGGGGTAAAGGTGGCATGGCGTGGGGTGGTCCAGTGTCCAGGCACCTCATGAGGGTCAGGGCGGCCTGGGAATGGATGCCTCAACCCAGCTGTGTCCCCCTTGAGTGTGGCCTCGTCACAGTTCGAGACGTGGCACGGTGCTATGTGCGGCAGCTGGAACAAGCAAAAACCAATTCAATTATCACAAGCCAGCAAGCTCGGTGTGCTAGCCCTCCAGAATAAGCGTCCCCTCTCTACTGAACTTGCCTGGTGCTCTCGGTGAACGCTGCGTCGCAACTGTTCATTGTAACGGCTTTTGGGGACTTTTATTTTGATAGGGTGGCATGCCGCAGTGCCCAGCTGGATAGGTCAATGTCGGAGCCAACTTTTGTGCTGCGTAGCCAGAAGATCAAAAAACGGAAAATTACGTTCTTTTTTTAATCGAAGAACATCTTTTTTAAAATCTTGAATATATACAGTATTGGCCCCACGCAATTGTTATTTATGAAGATAAACAGCAAAATCATGTGCCTGAGTGGTGAGCGTGTTCCAGTACTGAGTGCCACTGGTTGGTATTAGGGTAAGAAATGCAAATCATGACTTCGAGTGTTCATACAAAATTACCCAAAATATCAACAGATAAGCACAACGATCACGTATGTCAGTATTTCTACCATAAGGCGTAACGTTAACAGTTACCATTTCAGGAACTAAGCAACGCAAAATGTTTTGTAGAAAATAAACATTGAACCAACAATTGGTTGACATTTTGGCCAAGGGGCCTTACGGATGGGGGAACTTTACTACAAATCAAATGCACACACAAGCTGTATATACAATGCAGTAACAAACATATACTTTACGTAGTACGGTGTATTATAAATTATGCGCACACAACAGCACGTCCTATGAAAAGCTACAATGCATGACACATTGAAATGCATTGTAAATTATTCATTTTTACAACGTTAAGCCATTCGATACTGTATATAAAATGCACAGGCACTCAATGGACTCTACGCTAGGTGGAACAGAAGTAAGATTTTTTTTAAAGACTGCTAAAACGATGAGCATTTTCACAGCCCATGTAGGCGGTCGTACAAACAAAATTGATTATTAATAAACACAAAATTAATTTGAAAACACCCGAGTATTTTCAACATTCAATGGTTTCCAGTTACCGTACGAAGGACTGCCCTTGAGTTTAGCACCGGGCTTGGTGCTCCACGATTGTGTCGATTGTGGGGGGCCCCCTGCACTTCAGAGTGGGGGGGGGGTACAGCACTGGGCATGACCCCATGAGTGCGGTGGGTGCTCGGCCACAGGTTAACGGGGTTGTTGGGTTGGGGGGGGGGCATAGGGGGGCCGCAATCGGGCAGGGAGGGATCAGGAAAAAAAAACTTCGGGCACGCGGGTTCTTTCTCGTGGTTTTTGTACGTTTTAAAATTTACAAAAAAATTACAAAAAAAAGTCGTTTTGCCTGTGACATGATGACAAAACAGATCTAAGAGTATAGTTGTACATCTTTTGTACGTGATACTTGAATGTAACAACTGATTTCGATCTGGTTGCACTTAAAACTGAAACACGGCGCCTTTCAATTGTGTACTACGGCCTGGCACTATTCTAACAGTTTCCATTTTTACGGCTTTTCATAGATGTGTGAGCACGCATGTTCTGTTTGGAAAAAAATTAAAGAATGTGACATTGTGGCCTGCGCGTGGGTTCCTGCGTGCACATGCAAACAACCGCGGTAGGGTTTGGTTGGAAATTCAATATTCATCACTTGCACCTCTCAAAGCAACTGTTTGCTGAAGCTGGCCAACTGCGAATTTTTATTAAATGAAATTCTGAAAATTAAAAGTCCATAAACGTGTGTGTCACACCAATTGCTCATTCCCATCAGTGTGATGCATGTGTACTGTATATCGGTATTTCTATTCATTTTAATAAAACAAATGAAAGGATTCACAGCAAAATTGAAGGTTGCGTTACAACTCCACGCAACCGGCCACCTTCAAATGCCAGTTGGTTTGAGAAGTGTAGACGATGCTGTTGTGAATTTTAACTTTAATATTGAACTTACAACCAATTCTGCTGCTGTGTGCAAGCCTGCAAATGCAGCTGGGGCTTGCGGTTAAAGCCCTCAGCTCTGAGACGCAACATTTTCGTTTCCCCCCAATACGGTCTAATAAACGTTTAATCGGCATTGGTGGTGCCATAGGAGCCGTTAATAGAACATCTTGGTGGTGGAGCTCAAAGGACAGTGAGAATGGAATGAGATTTTAGAGCAGCAGGCCATTTGTCTCCCGTGCACGTGCGGTGATGAATTCCCACTACGATATCTTGTCAACAACGCCACACACTCCGAGCCTCCACGAGATACCAAAGTAGGTTGATTACCCAAACATCCATATGCTCATTGGATTTGAATTTTTATAGGTTTTGTTTACAATTAGCATTGAGTGTTGAGAATTGTGTACTATTCGTTTTTAGAGAACTAAAAAAGTTATTATCCACGAATAATTATAAACTTCTAGGCTTCAAATATTACACCCCCGAGATGAATTTCAACCAAATCACAAGACAAAGCTCAAGGGTGACCGACCCTTTAGAAGTTTAGATGAACGTTAATTGCAAGTGCAGTCTGCATGTCCCGTTCCAAGTGAGCATTTTGTGCGTCAATTAAACCACATTGCGGTTTCCCATTCTGGCTCTTGGCACCGAAATTGTGGCTCTTGGGATAATTCTTAATTAGGACACTGCCAATGGAGTCCGAGGAGTCCCAATGCTGATAAGTTGAGATGTAAGTCGTAAGTTCCCCCATGAAATACACGAACCTGCCAGGGTTATCCTCGCCATTCATCGCTGTTGACACACTAAGCAAACTACTTGGATGTCTACTCGTCAATATGACAAGAGGGGATAAGTAGCTCAGTGATTCACGTACTGAACTGGACGTTTTGAGCAAACTTACCGTCGCGGCTAAAATAAGTGGCCAGTGATACCCGAACATGTCCTGGGACTGCCTTCAAAGATAAAGATCCCCCCCATAGCCTTAAGAGACTTGGGGCAAGTGCTGTCAGCGAGCACCTATGAAGGCCGGCATGGCACACAAGGCAAGAGAGTGTTGAGCACCACACCCGAACGCCTTAGTCTCCCCAGTGGCGATGTTTACACACTACACCAGGTGCTAGCCGACCGTAGGGGATTCCCAGTACCGGTTCAGATAATTGTCAATGTGGTGATGGCCGTAAACAGGACAGAAAAAACTCGGTTCGCCGGGTTCATAGCGCAGCGCGATAAACACTGCACTACCGTTCCCCAACCACCTTCACCCACCTGCGCTACGAGCGTGGTCGGTCAAAAGTCCCTGAGAATGCAAGGCACAGGGTGGACTTTGTACAAGTGGCTTGACAAGGGGATGGACTACAATTATAAATGAGGTGGCCCTTTTGTGAAAGATACAACCTCAATAGATCACTTAGGCAAATAATGATTTTACAGAATTCTGCCAATAGGGCATTCATCTAAACCCATAAATAGTGAAATACAAGAGTGCACGTGCAGTACATTTTCCTTCACAATGTTTTGCATACAACACTTTACATGAAGAGGGGTAATTTTATCAAATGTGAAAATACAATAAAGGAATTCAAAGCTGGCTAATCCACACTTCACAACTGATGTAATTTTACAAAAGAAATTCCACAAATGAATAAGTAAAATAGTTTATTTTAATATAATACATTAGCTATGTTATTAAGCAAAATGTGCAAATTTGCATATTTTAATGTAAAATATATATTAGACCATAAACTACCCATTCTCTTTCATTGGGAAAAACATTCTACTGAAATCTGATGAAATTTATAGCACTGCAATTAAAATCATTACAAGGAAAAAAATCTTATTTTTTTTTAAATACTGTGGTGTTGTAGGAAAATCAAGTTTTCGTACCAATTCACTGCCAAAGCAGTTGCACTAATGAACAATTGGTATCCAACTCTGAAATGACCGATTGAAAAAATAAACATCACACGTACACCTTTACATCACAAGGAGGTTCAAAACACAAAAATGTTACATTGCAAAACGGTCGTAAACTTTAAACTATGTAAGACTTCATCTGTTTATGGAAACGTTACACAAGTAAATGGTTATACAGCAATCGAAAGGAAGACAATTTTTTAATGATTGTCTTGGAACCCATCACACAATGCAGGCGCACACCCTTCTGAGGACGCGAGAATGAGTACAAAAATATCCTCACCACCTGCACTACAACTGTTCTTTTTATTTATTGGCGCATTTTCCTTTTAGAAATATTTACATGTGAATACGCATGGATACCTTGCCAGAATTACAATCAGAAGACAAATGGTCATTGCACATGTTAGATAATTTAGTGTTTTTATGCTTTTTTATGCTATTTACTTTTGCTTCAGGAGAAGTAGCCCTACCCAGAGGTAACAACTATGAAACTGAATGCAAACATCGAAAAACAAGTTTTCTTCTTACAATAACCCTACAGGGTTCTCAACCACAACCTTTTGTTCAGAGGGCATGGGGTACACTTGCCAGGCACCACTCAAAACTTTGTGAACCATGATCTCGCTAGCTCTGGATTAGCATTTTTTTAAAAACACCTCTCTCATGACACGGCCACTTGGGCCTCTCTCCTCACTCTTTCCGCCATGGAAACAATTCACATTCGGCTCATCTCTGGAATGTTAGGTACAGCGCTGCACGCACCAACAATGCGCCAAAGCTACCAAGTGCTTTATTTACGTCGCCGTAAGAGAAGCATCGCCACACTTAAAATGTTTCTCGTTGAATAATCAGGTAGTGCCTCTTCATCTTAAAACTTCATACCGCCCACGCGGAGTGTTATCGCTGGAAGGCAGGTGGGCATCAGGGCGAGCCCAGGAGCTCCTTCAGGGTTTTAGCGATGGCTCCAGGCTGCATGGACGCGAGCGTGATAAGGCCGGGTCCCATGGCGGTGTGCAGGCTCCGTGCCAACCTCACCGTGGAGGCACGGATGTTACCGGTCCCGCCGGACATCATACCCGTGCCCGTCATGTTACCGAGCAGGTGCCAAAAAACCGGCAGCACGTTCCGCTCGACGGCCTGTGGCTTCTTCGTGTACAGGTTCTCCACTAAATCTGCGGTCACAAAAACGACATCACGACCTCTCATCAATGCTTCGAGACCCGCTGGCTCACCGTAACAATGAATAAACATACACTGCTGTAATAAAGTGCACGACAATCATACCACCAATGATCATCATACTGGCTTAACGGGATTTTCCATGGAACAAACATATGTAGTGACATCGAAGAGGTGAGAGTAACAGAACACTGATATGGTATGGTTTATTTAAAATTGCTTAACTTATGTTATGCTCCTATTAATGTAGTTACCCAGAACATTTTTTTTTAAAGCCTAAACAATATTTTTAAAATATCACAATAAATATTGTGAGAAGAATATGAAAACGATAGCCGTCTCTTATTTTCTGTTACACAGCAAAGGGTGTTTCTCTACTCGTATACTTAATCATCTATTACTTATATTTCCTACTGATGGCACAGCTACCAATGGAACAGCCGATGAGAATTTAAAGGTGCGGTTTACACCTGATAAAATGAAACGTTTGACTGAGAAGCCTAGAATGATAAAAGGAGTTGCTAACAGTCCCATAGGGCTGAACTCAGAAACACTTTTGGTTGGACTGTCACCAAATGTACTTAATCAGCCACATTGCATTAGATTTCTCTTCCACCAAACTAGATTATAGCCCAACCTTACAAGGACATAACTTCCAAGTGATCATTCAGTTCCGCTGTCATGTGTGGATGCTGGAGTAGTAATGAAAGGCCACGTGTGTTAGATGCTCCTTATTTTACAATTCATGAAACCACCATGAGATGAGCCGTTTGGAATTCTAATGTTCAATGCAGCAGTCGGAAAGAGGAACCATACCTGCGAGACGTTCCGTCATATCCAGTTTGACTCTTCCACTTCCAAAATGGGCTTTATTGGAGAACAACTGCAGCAGATGGATATTGTCTGTAAAAGATCAAAAGAAATACGAAAACTGATTTGAAGGCCACGTGAAGACATTTTTCATGAAGATGTAATCCAGACAAGTGGAGAGTAAGCAAAGATGACGTATTTCATGATTATCTGTATGGCTTTGTATCGAGTGGGATGATGGTTGAACGGTATGTGTGGCACAGTAACTCGTAAATGCGTAACCTGAACTACACCATGATTACCCAATCATGGTATGTAATGATTAGCAAGGAAAAGGAACAGTTTCTACACATTTAGCTGTTTCATTAACAGGAAAAGGTTGACAACTTTTTATTGGTGCAGATAGTCTTCTTCAATTGCTCAAAATCAGCCCACAAATTCTCATGTTAAACACCACACACTGTCCACACTTGTATCCTGTGCACAATTCAATATGAATGTGGCACCCACAACTATCAAAATATCGGGGTGCATCAAAACACTAAACGGACTACTACGAGCATGGAAGCTGCCATGCTGTGATGGTGAGCACACTGGACTTGCAATCCAGAGGTCGCCGATTCCATCTTCCGGCACCAGCAGTTAAAACCAATGAGCCAAGTTTCTCACATCCCCCCCCCGCCACTGCCTCTGTCCACCCAGAAGTGTGAACAGGTGAACAAGTCGTTGATCGGCAGCTCGTGTATGATGGGATGAAGTGTGTGTATTCCCACATTTTCCAACATAACTGAGACCAATGTGGAAGAGTAGATAACATGCCCCCTCTTGTGGAGGCCATTCTGCGAGCAATGTCGTGAGCGAGCAATTGCCGGGCTTTACCTTCGTGTTAGCATACTGCACTCATTTTGTTTTACTGCTGCAACATTAAACATAATGAATGGTCAATTACTCCACTCCACCCCCCACGTTTAGTTTATTGGATAAATTTTTGTTCAGACTGCACGGCACTGTGCCCAGCCACCTTTTTTACCGTCAGTGCTGATGCCGACACATAAAGAGGCACCCAATGAAGGCTGAAACACTTAGGAAGGGACATCACGCGAGTTTTTTAGCCACCAATTGCTAATGGTTTTTGTCCATGGGTCGGGATCAAACCTGATTTTTTAGGTTTGTAGTAAAGCACACTGACCACAGAGCGACTGCTCCCCAAAGTCTACAAATGTAGCCCAAAACCAAATTGTGCACACAACGAATCTCGGATTTGAATCTGGAATGTCAGTGGTGCTGACTCAATGTTCTGGCCACCCGAGACACCTAACCACTGCTCACTCTGACCTACGCGACCAGCAGCTGCCACAAACTGGGAGCTATCGGTCGCCTTCTTGATGTGGCCGTCTCTCACCGATATGTTGCATGAGTGTGTCGATGACGCTGGTGGCAGCGGTGTAGATGCCGCTTAGCTTGGAGTTGAGGTTGTTGTCCACCACGGCTGGCACCACCGACTGCACCACTTGCACCAAGTTGTCCTTGAGCGCTGGGATAATGAGCAGCAGTGACTCCAGTGCTGCCTGGTTCACTTTGCTGTTTGACTCTTGGAGTCGTGGCGTGAACACGTCAAAGAACTGCATTCATTAAAACAAAAGGAAAAACAAATTGGCATAATTCACGTCGAGGAATGGCGCAAGGGTTTGGTAGAGAATACAAATTTGCGTCACTCCCAAAGCCACTAGCTTACATGGTAGCCAGACGGTGGCAGTACGTAAAATGTGCTTGTAAATGGTCTGGGAAAACAGTTTCTGAGTTGTATCCCATCATACACATGTCTGGGTCTTATCCTGATACTGTGGTTTCCTCTCACATATCCCAATGCAAGCCCCTCCTGCAAGAGTCCTGAGACTCGGCAAGGCTTTTCAGGATAAACATGAAATATAAAACATCAAACATATGATAACGTTCATCTAAACAGGGGACGACACCTGTCTAAATGACTGTCTATACACAAAGCACCACATGTAAGCATTACGTTTGTAAACAAGTTTTTGTAAATTATCACTTGACACTATTGGATCAAACTCGACACAAAATTTTCACCGATACTGGTATCCCAATGCAATTCATCGTCAAACTTTGACCATCTTGAAAATCCATCAAATATGTACAGATTCTATTTGTGGCATGAATTGAATTATTTATCAATGGCATTCTTATATTATTCATTGGCCTGAAAAATCACTGCTCAGGAACGCTCCATTAGGCTGCACGGAGCGCATTCACAGTGGACGATCGGTTTTGCGTCAGGGGTCATTACCCCTTTATTTGGGCTGGTTAATTTGGACGCGACACAGCACACGGAGCACATCAGTGTGGGCTCAGAGACCGTGAAGAATGGGGCCGGTCTGTGCAAACAGCCCTCCCCCCACGTGCCTCACTCAAGCCTTCACTCTGTTTTGCTCTCCTCCTTTAACCGCCGCACACACACACTGCTTCCGCCGCAAATACATGCATTCTCACGCAACGCAACCTTGTCGTCAAAACACTCGACATCACCAACACCACGCGCCCCCCCCCCAGGACTGCACCACGACCCGGTCACAGAACAAGAACCATGCCTGGCATCTAATTATATTCAATATTCAATGATAATGCGACGTGTGCCACGCACAGTTAAATTGAATTTATGGCGGTGCCCATTTCATGGTTACACAGCCCTGAGCCTGTGGGTGGAAGTTCCACATTCCTCTGGTTGGGGCAATTCTTCGTATATGACAGTAAAGTAAATTTTTCCCCAAAAAATCGTCTCAACTCAGGGCTCAGTCGAAGTGCCTTCGGCTCATAGATTACTTGAACAAAACTACACAAAACACATAAAAAACATCAAGGACGATTCAAGTTTCTTAAAATCATCAGGCCCTGTTCTTCACAAAGGGGCTGGCAAAACTTACCGATCAAATAGGATTGCCACCTTTTCCACAGACCAAAACTGGGCATATATTTCAGTCAGCCGAGGTCTGTGAAAACTGCAGTATACTGTAAGAAAGTTCAACATAATGCCACCAGACCTTGGTACAAACAAACTCCTGCCACTGGAACGCAGATGCAAATTGCCGGAGTGTACGAGTCAAACCCAGACAGGTGACAACCCTATGATCAACTGCTCACCTTGACCACGTTAGAGGCCACACAGTCGGGGTTGGCATGGCAAGTTTCCACGAGCATTTCGATGCCCTTGATGCGCTCGCGGAAGTCTTTGGATGCGAGCAGTCCCGTCACGGCCTTGAGGCGCTCCGAGTAGTCGCTTTGGCTGCGTGCCAGGGGCCGATAGGGGGCTTCGCGAGGAGGCATCGCCTCCTCCCTGGCCGTGGAAGCGTTGAACAAGTTCGGTTACATTTTGGCGGATCAGCTCTGCACACACGATTATTTTGTTATCATTACTATCACGGAAATTTGTTTACCCAGGAAAAAGCCTTACGGAGTCTCAAGACTCTTTAAGGAGAATCCTGCCAAGTTTTCGCTGGAGAGAACGATGACTGACGTTTTCCTATTCTGGCAATTTAGAAGTGATCTAAAAATGTGGCTATTTTGGAACGTGGTATGCCAGCACACAATGGCCTACTATTCTTTAGATTAAGGCAAGGGAACTTCAACATCCACTGTGAAGTAGACCAGGGTGGCCTGCCAGATTAGAACCGGAAACCTCTGCAACAAGCAGCAAACAGGCTACCGCTGGGCCGCGGCACCGCCCAAGACGGCAGAGAATTCTCTTCTCGCTGTGCATCATTGGGTACTCCACTGCAAAAGGACAAAGGGGACATACGGCTGTTCTTACTTGCAGTCCTCTTGAGCCGAATGTATTCCAGGTTTTCTCGACAACCCATCATGAGGTGCATTTACATTATGAATGTGATTAAAATGTATTACAAATTAACCTTAAAAAACGATCATTTGCAATGTGCAAATTATACACTAAGGATACCATTATGCCAATGGAGGGGCCCTGATGCATAACAAGGACATGGTCAAAACAAACCATTCTTAGTTGTAGACTCTTTACTAGTCTGTCGTACAAAAGTTCACCACAAGCACAACAGACATTCATACATACAAAGTCATAAACACGACAGTTACAATAGTAATGGAATTCAATAGACTGCCGATGCAAAATATGTGATTATGTTAAGTGAATGTTGTGTATAATTGAAGAAAGCCCTTTTGATGGAGGCTGGTGAGAAATTAAATAATATAATCAAGGACAAGATATTAGTGGGAAGGCTTTAGTAACAAGGTTGTTCAATAAGAATGAACTGGTAAATTTGGATGAATGCTTAAAAACATCTATTAAGACGCACCCGATATCTATTGCACTATTGCACATTATTTCTAAGTGCACATTTGGTGCTGCCAGTGGGCTGAAAATCACACCGACCCTGAACGACTGGCCTCGACGTTATCGGTAGAATTTAGTCTTGGAGAATTAACCACTCGGCGAATTGCAAGATGACTGGCGAAATGGATATTGGGCTGAGATCTGCTGGTCCAGTAATAGGCGAGATTTTTGGAACTCGAGTAACAAGTGCATGCTTACACAGCTTGTGAACAGCGCCAATGACTAAGCTGTTATGTATTAGTTTGGCTAGGATGCCACGGAGTTCATGGACATTTTGCTTACCAAGCCTATATGGATGTAGTTCGCTCCCATAGCAGTTTTGGCGATTGGCTCTGTTACCATCTCCTGTTGGTAAGCACAAGCTCCAGCTCCATCACCGAATAATGTGAAAGCTGCGTGAGATAGCTATCAGTGATGATGAGACGACGGTGGTGGTGATGGTACAGCCACTGACCTGGCCCTGGTGTTGGTGCCGTCCCTCACGTCCTGAGCGGGCCGCGTTCCCAGGCCGCTGCCAGGGCAGAGACCGACGCCCGTGTGCTGACGATATCTCGGGAGGGGATTCTCCAAGGCCCTGTAGGACCACGAAGACAGGACATATGGTGACATGACGCACAGACCCATCACAGATGGAGATACGGCACAGACACGGTTAGCATTACACTCTGCACCGACAACACCTCAAGGCACTCACTGTGTGGTTACTTAATAGTGCACATTGGTTCACAAGTTAGTTACATGGAAGTGCATACCAATGACAGTGTTTGCTGGACAACAAAAGAAAATGCTATCCGTAGTGTGGTTTTGGCGAAGACTTACTTTATTCCTGAGCGTGGTCACGGTGTCACGCACGTAGTGCAGATCCTTGGGCAGAACATACTTATCAATCATTTTGTCAAAATCCGGGTGGCCCATCATGATGAACAGCATCTTCTTGCCGTAGTACCTGTGTAGGTATAAAACATGCCAAGCGATATACTCAGTTGAAATCACTCACACAACCAATGGTTAATTATAAAATGAACAATTAAAACATTGCTGAGATTTGGAGACAAGATTCAATAAAAAAATAAGTATTTTTTTGTAAAATGCTTACCATTTATCTAATTTGTTTCTTTATTTTTTATAAGAATTGTAAAGTTTAGCTTGCTCCATTATCTTGAAAGCATATAATTCATATATAATTTGCAAAAAACAGTCAATGGTTAAATTTTCACACCATTGTCAATCAATTGCTAAAAGGCCTCCCCACACCAGACTGGTCATGAGGTCGCTTCAGCATACTTCACCACACCAGTCAGTAGAGTCATTGACCAGCGAGTTGAAAAGGGGGCAGGGCAGGCCAGGACCAGTTCAGATATCACTCGTCACCGATGTTAGTCGTGGTAAAGAATATAACTCAGCTCGCCAAGTTCGTAGCATAGTGCGTAAACCATTGCACCACTGCTCCAAGACTTATGCTTATCATATACAAATCGAAGCACCGTTACATGGCTATAGTTAAGATTTCCACAAAAAATACAATCTCAGCTCAAGTGTCGAGAGAGGCGTCGTGTGCAAAGCGGAGGGGGCACCTGGTCTCGGGGGAGGCGTCCTGTGCGAAGGCGGTGGCTGCGAGCAGCACGCGGTCCGTCACGTCCTTGATGCCCGCCAACAGCCGTGCGGCTCCCAGCCGTTCCACCACAGGGATGAGGTGCTGCGCTGTGCACTTGCGCACGTATATGTTGCGGTGCCTGTGAACGTTTTGCAGGGTCAGGGCCATGGCGGTTGTTATACAGCTTTATAGTTTGTAGACATTAATGACAACATTCTTGAAAAATGACAATAGGTTTTTGCGCTAGTCTGACACTTGTTTTCCAAAACCATATAAAATATAAATTATAATTTCAGACGCGTTTTTACAATTTTGTAATGCAGTCCCCAAGAAACCGATTACTGTGCTGCTGTGACTTGAGTTCCTGGAGGCTGAAAAGGTGTTCACGACTAAGATGCAAGTTACCCGCATGTGGTGTGTACTCATTGCAGCGTGGTGCTTTTTGGGAATTTTTACCGTTTCAAAATTAATCTCGCATTTACCCTAGTGTAATAATTTTCACGTCCAATCTGTATAAAACAAAACCACCGGAAGTTCCCTTCAAAAAGCTATATGTGTTCCGTAAAAAATAAACGAGATTCTCTCCGTGCATCTCGGGCCACTCACGCAAATCCCCCGTTGATGAGCGCAGTCAGTGCCCGTGTCGCTGTCACATTTGCAACCATGGTTTCCAGTGCCTTGACGATATCTTCTCGCATGAAGTTGTTGGTTTCTCCGGACTTGTGCAGCAGCACCTGGGTCACTGTGTCCAGCTCCTGGTCCATGCCCTTCTTGAGGTGAACGAACATATCACTGATGCAGCTCACCGCAGCGCGGGCAACCGTTGAGCGAAGGTTCTTTGCCTGTGAAATTGGAGGGACAGTTTTACTCTATCACTAACAATGTGGCTCAAAGTTCAGAGCACTGAGCTGGCACGACTGGAGATCCTGGGTTTGAATTAAAGCAGCCAAACTTGTGATTAAACCAGGTCCTCAAGTAAGGAAAGTGGATTGTCTCAGCCTGGTCATTAATCATATAATATTACAAAAAAATTGCTGGCTGGATTCCTGGCTGGCGTGCAAGTGCGCATGTGTGGAGCGTCAAACTTGCGGGATGCCGTCACCTGCATCCCACGGCATTGAGCCGGGTTTGTGTATCGTGCTGACGTCACGGCTCCCTCACCCACCCTCTACCCCGGACATGTATATCGTGCAAATACATTAGAAGATAGAGGAAGATAAGGGAGGTAGAGGAACGAGATAAACGAGGGAGTAAGAGAGTGAAAGGGCATGAAACGGAGAGGAAATAAAGAACAAAATGTAAAGAGAGTGAGGGATAAGCAGTGGGAGGGAGAAGGCAAAGGTGAGAATAAGGAAAGCAAAGGTGTGAGGTGAGGGAGAGACAGGGGGGGGGAGGGAAATGGACGAGATACAATGGAGGGAGGAGAGGAATATAGATGGCATAGGTAGAAAAGAGGAAGAGGAAACAGAAACAACATGAAACATTGAGATACATTGGGATATAAAATGAACCAGTTTTGCTGCCTGGGAGGGATGGACAGATGGTCATGCCCAAAGGATGTGCGGGTTGCTTTTGAATGGAGAAAAAAAAACTATCATGAAAAATTGTTCTGCAATTAATTTGGTAAATTTAGTATACTTCAGAGAACTCTGGAAAAATTAACGCACACTGCCCATCTGATAGGCCTGTAACGATTCACCATCCTCACTATTCAATTAATTGTTGAGCTTCAAGGTCGCGATTAAATTCAAGCAGCTACATTTTTGCAATTTGGTGTAATGCAAGCATCTATAATGATTCTAAGTGTGCCGTAAACCCAATTTCAACTAATTGATGTACTGCAACACTGCTACCGTCCAGCATCTGTTAAAACTTTATTTCCGCAGATCATCCTTGAAAACACTTACTTTTTGATAATATTCCCCATCCAATGCAATGTCTAGTTTAAAACAGAAACGTAAGCACTCAAAATAAGTGACTCCACGTACGAGGGGTATCACAGTCTGCCCGGTCGCGCTGCAGAAACGCAAGACGAAGCTCACCTCCTTGGTGACAGCAAAGGAAACCTCGTGCAGACGCGTCGCTAGCAGCTCGGGGTGGAAGGTGGCGAGCCGCTGTGCGTACGAGATGCCCAGCATCTTTTTCTCCCTGCATGAGAGTTTGAAAAACAATCTATTATCCTTCACCAACCTTCACCAAAGGTGGACTGAGAGAAGGTCGTAAGTTGAATATACATTTAATGCAAGGGGTTGTCACCTCAGACTTTTGACTTCATTATTTCAGCTGGTAAGACTCACCGAGCTCAGCAGCTCTGTTATAAGAACAACCAGCCCAAGACCGTCAGCAATGGTGGCAGTTACCGGACATTGCATGGAGGGTATGTGCAAGGTGACAACAGAAAAACTAAAAGTATTTACACGATACATGCTAAAACGTACTGCAAACAAGATAAATAGTGTGAAAAAATCCTGTCACAGACGTATGTTCGTAAAATATGTATACAGCCTCAAATTTAATGGAACTTCGTTATAGCATTCACGATTGTGGCAGAGGTAAGCCTGCAGCATGGCCTTAACACATTTTAAATATAGTGAATGTGGAATATTAAGCCTGGTTACGAGGACATTCCAAATGTGGATGATACACAAGAGAAGGCCCTGAAACCAATCTAAGTGCTCAACTGGCACTCATATGTCCATCTAAGGTTGTATTTTTTTTATGGAGGGAGAATGTCAGTTAAAAACCGAGCTGATATGGATTGAAGAACTCTGCAGATGTAAGTCCAAAAAATGTAAATTACATTTAGTGTAAAGCTCAGTGATTACTACTATCAGGGGCATCTCTGGCAAGTGTTACAATTGGCAAAGGAGTGATGAAGAATATTTAGTTTATTAAGGAGAGTATTTGCAAATTACAAATGAGCTACATCTCAGACATCAAACAGAGGTAGGATGGGTAGCTTCAACAATAGGAAGTTGGATCCTGAGAAGATAGCATTGCTTACTTCTAGAGAAAACAAATTTGACGTTTTACATTTTTAAGTCAATATGCGAGTGGAAAGTATGGGCAGAGTCGATCATGAGATCAAGGCATTTGTAGTAGGTTGTCTGTTCGAGAGCTGTAATTGGTGGGGCTAGAAATGGTTAATCCGTGTTCAATGAGGATATAAAATTAGTTTTACTAGTATTAAAGAACAATAAGCAATCACATTCGAAAACGGTGTGCAGATAGATTGCCCTCTCATTCCAATTGGATGGCTGTACAATGAAAAGTTGGCTTTAATATAGGACAATCAAACAAGTTACATGGTTTCATGCCTCCTTTTTGCAGACCCCCTAATGAGTTCCCTTCTTTTGGCTGCCAGATCATTGCCATTTGAACAATTGACAATCTTGATACATACAAATCCAGTGTGAACCCCAACAAATACTACTATAATGGCAAGTTGCTTTGAAGCAAATATGTTAGCATTAGAGCTAAAGCCAAGCATAAACTCGAAACAATGTTGCCACTACCACTCACCAATCATCTTTTGACAAAAGCATGAGCAGCTGATCGATGTCTGCCTCGGGGGTTGAGGATGGCTTCAGCTGTGCCGATGCCAGCTCCTCTGCTGACACATGCAAGGAATCCTGGCCTCTGGAAGTCTCAATATGAGGTTTGATTTTCTCAACTGAAAGAAACACAATGTGGCAAATAAAAAATCCATCATTTCACCAAAAATAACACACCATGAGCTGCTCTCAAAGCACATTTCAAACATATTAAATTAATATAAATAAATGTTTAAGTCATTGTCATAACTGCTTAACCAATGCACAGATAGGAAATTTCAATTGAGAAGAAATCAGGAAATGTTGTAAATGTGTGGTCGGTGGCAGATCTTGCCAGGTTTGTGCTGGCCACTTGTGTGCACGGCAGGCAGATTGGGTGTAATGAGATTGGTCTTCGCAGCACTGGGTCTCTTCTTTATTTCTGGAACTGGGGAGTGTCTGGTCTGGACGATATTAGTGGGGTTTATCAGACGTTCAGACACAACGCCTCCGTAGACAGTCAAACCTGCCCAAAAAACACACAGTGACCAACATTAACATTGCCACAGAACTCAGCGTACACATAGCATTCGCAACACTTAACATCATGCTGACAGAAACAAAAAATTATGCTATTGTACAACTGAAAATAGCATTCTTAAACCATTTAGTAGTATATACCGAGATTGCATGCTCGTCACCTACTCCAGAATTGTCAGGGTTTGGAGTCGCAAGTCAAGAGTCAATTATTTTTGTAAATTTTTTACCATCTCATTGGTATTTTTCTATATGGTCTGATTTGTACAGTTTTGCTCACTCTATAAGCATAACTGTAACATTACATTAACATAAGCTCCCCCGCCCATGCTGCTGACACTTGGGGTTATGCCCATTTTAAACCTTTATAAACAGTTTGCCTTTAGAGGCTAACCTTATTTTTTTTCCCTATGCTGATGACGACCGCTTGTGTTGCGATCGAAACGTCGTAGTTTTTTATTTTCTTTGAACCTATCTACGTGACTTTACCGAAAGATCGAAAGAATATGAATTCCCACAGTCACGAAAGCTTGAAGTCAAGATTTGTATACCAATTTACCAACCGTGGCCTGGAAATTTGAGTATTCACAGATAAGCACGGTGTTAAGGAAGTCACATGATGTATGACAGCATGACATCACTGTATTGTGACGTCATTCGTCTGCGGTCGCCATTCTATGAATCTAGAACACACGGGTCCGCAACAGGCATTTATAAGTTTAGCAGGGCCTTGGTCCTCCTCCGGGCCACAGTGCCACCTGTGTAGCCGATTGGCTGTCCATCTGTTCTGTTGTACACACTGTCCTGTCATTCTCGCAGCGCATAGACCGTGTCGCATCGCAACCACATTCACATTAACCCTTTCCCGCCCCGAGATGTCTGCAAGTTGCAGGGTGGGTCCCATTCACCGCCGAGTCTCGGAAGGCCCAAACGGTGCCATAGCGCCGTTGTTTTAAAGACATTGCACGGTACTCATCCAAGAGAATTGAAAATTCGGGAATTTTAAGCAACACACCAGAGACTGAGCTGTCGTCTATGCCGACTCTCCCGGGGTCGATAGACTTGAGCTGCTGCCACAAATTCTTGAAGTTGTCATGAGCGTGCGGATTCACGTTCTCCCGGCTGGGAGGGTCCCTCACGACCAGCTGTGGGAGTATTGCTTTACTGCTCTCATCCTTCTCGGGATGCTTCAGATGGATCTTGTCCAACATCGGAGACCGTAATGAAATGCTCAACTGCAAGGAAACACCCAAAGACATTTAGATTTTTCATAATAAACGCAGTACCAGCGTACGAAGTTGTATTCCAGTTGTGCTACCGCATCACGACATTGGATAAAAATAATTAAATTTTAAATTCCAAAATCACATTTTGCCAGAAAACAGCCCATCATAGAACTACTCGTGAATATCCCCCTATGCCAGTATTTTTTTGCATATCAATAAAACATATTTGTCAGAGCTTACACAGACCGAATTAATTATTTAAATGCTAATTTATTATTTTTTGTGCATTCATTGGTGACCGCATCCAAGACAACTCCCAACACTTGAGAACCCAGTTTAATCACAGATGGCTGCCCACATTCTAATCTACGATCTCTGCAAGGCTCAGGACTTTGAACAAAATTAGCCTCCCGAGCGTCCCAGCCACCTCAACTGTAGATGGAGGACCACTGCCCAAAGACAAGTATTTCTATCTTCCAATGAAAGTGTAAATGCACGAGCGAGCTCGATACATTTTCGACACACAGCGCTCGCAGGTGTTTACAAAGTACAGTCCTGTCGCCGTGCTTCACTATGCAGCCCCTAGCAGGTGGATATCATTTACCGACAAGCGGCTGGCATCAAGTGACTACATTAAAAAGTAAACGGAGGTGAAAGCAGCGAGTGCTACTCACAGTATTCCCACTTTCGCTGGCACCATGGCTGATGTGAGGAATGCTTTTACCATTTACCCCATTCATCGATTTCCTGTGATCGTTCCTGATATATGCTTCGGAACTTTTCGCTTCTTCCTCTGCAGAGGTATTTCCAAACTCTGTGTTGTCATTGACCAACCCAAACAACATTCCTAAAGTGGAACGCAAAACAAATGTTATAAGGAGAGGGAAAAACTGTTATCCATTTTAAATAGGTAATGTCATGCGAGCAATATTTGTATAATTAGAAAAGGAGTGATTATTATATTACAGCAAAAGCTGTTGTTATCTGGCACTTTACCATCCGGAATACTCCAGTATCTGTCAAGCACAGCCATACAAATCTTCCGTCACGTATTTGTAAAAATTCCGACAGCCATCCTGCATCTCGCCGTGTGCTTATCGTAGATCTGTTTGCTAGAGCTTCAAGACACTGCTCAGTTGTGGCGCTAGTGGAAGGATGTATAGACAATACTGTACACGACTGTATATTGTACAGTAGCAAACTCCGGTAATCCTCATAGTGGCGGCTTTGGCTAACCAACAAACAAAAACGGTCACTTGCATCACACGCTTTCAGATGTGCTTCTGCAGCCACCTGGAACGCTCTTCCTTTACGATATTATAAAGCCACTGAAACTATGCACTTGTAAATCTAAATTGGAAGCGAATTTTGCGAGAATTTATTTTTGTATTTGGTTTTGCTGTCCTCCCACACCTCCGTTTAGCACGGTTCGCTACAGTACTGAGCAAAAGAAGTTCAACATACTGCTTCTCGACAATCAACTTAGAATTGTCGACAACTGACTAGCGAGTACCTCTGTAAAAGAGTATATAATTTATTATATCATAGCAAAAATGCAGGCTTAGCTTCTTTCTTGAAAAGTTTTATGAATTTGCAAAAAATGGTGAACCATGACTATTACTCTTCAATAACCGGAATATTTGATTAACTGGCACCCTCCATTCTCCATGAATGCCAGACAATAGGTTTTTCTGCATAATAACGTGCAAAAAATAGAAAAAACGCAATGCGAGTTTAAACGGCATCCAAAAGGCAATCCCATGGGTATAGGAATTTGTGCACTTTTTCACAACACCTTTTCCAACAACGGCCACGTCTTTGGTAGAGTGCTGCTGCTCAGAAGCTGTTGCACCATCCATAGAGGCTGTGAACACAAATATCCGTCAGAACGAAATGTTCATCGGTGTAAATCAAGTGCTCAACAGGAGAAAACCAAATTTCAGTGAAAGGCAACCACACACACGCATTCAGATAGTATCTTCCAGAAACAAATGATAATCAGCCACAGTTCCATGCAATTATTTTTGCAAGCATTATTCAGGATGCATAACAGAGTATTTGAAAATGTCCCGAGTTTTTAGGTTTTTTTCAATGGGAGGAAAAAATTTCCACGACGTTTTGGCCAAAAAGGCCTTCTTCAGGAACTACTGAAAATGCTACCTTTTTGCAGTTGATTTTTATGCCTGCTGGTTTTGGGCAGCGTATCCTTGCTCTGAGAACTGCCTGCAAAGATATTCTCCACACGCTTGACTCCTTTCTCGGTGTAAGCGCCGCCTGAGTTAATCTGCTGCCCAGTCGCATTCATGCCCCTGTCAGTCTGCGGGAGGCCTGCGAAAGCACGCAGCCCCAGCATGGCAAAAGTTAATAAAGCATGCTCAAAGTCACCATTGCTAACAACAAGACCTTGAACATGTAACACATGAAATGTGCAGTAAAGCTGATTAATCTTTCACTTTTGTATGTGTAACTATTGGAAAAGTAGTAAACTACCTTTAGGAATAGCTTCCAATATAGGGTCAGGTTTGGTGATGAAAGATACCTCTTCAGTGCTGTAAAACAGAATACAAAAGATACAATGTCCATGGCTTCCACGAGTACTCTTCTATAAGAGTGCACTGGTCTATGCTACAAATGACATGATTGCATTGTGTACCAGATAAAGCATACAATTAATATTAATAAGTGCAAATCGAAACATTACTTGGACATTGAATAAAGAAAAACAAGCTATCAGTGCAGGTTTAATGCTCATTTATATCACATTTTTTAATTATGCATTTCAGATGCACAAACATCACATGTGCCATCCATACATTGCATCTTGACACACGCACGATTCATCTACCTTTTTGATGCAGACTTTGTTACAAACGCTTGCTGTGCGGACGGTGAGGGTGCATTTCCACCAATACTGGCCTTGACCCTCCTCTCCTGGCCAAACTCGGAAATGGGGGAGACGTTGGTCGGGGTCACGGTACGCGGGGTCACGGTACGCGGGGACGCCCCCCCGCAACTTGCGTCCCCGTCCGGTGGGTTGCTGTCTTTCAGCCACTGTGCATGCTTCTTTGCAGCGCTCGATCGGAGGCTCCGCAATGAGTTCTGTATCTGGACATTGGGAGGAGCAGGGAGGTGGGACCAACGTTCAATGTGAAGGGCTGCTAATCGCGAGCCCACTTGAAAGACTACAGGGTGTGCCGTGAAATTACCGTGCATCCAAATTGTGAGAAAATTAACATGTTTTACATTTTATAGCATGTATGCATGAGCGTTTGTCATCCGTAGTGGGGAGACCTCTCAAAGAAAATGCAATCTGAACAAACCCCGAGTATACAACTTTTCTGCAATTAGAGATGTAATGGAAACTGGGCAAATTACAGGGTTACCCAAAACTTGGGATTAAATACCGAAACAAACCACTAATTGCAAATATGCAAACACATTTTGCCCAACAGCTACCCTTGGGTTTCCCGAACGCTAGTTAAATACTTCCAAAGAAAAATGCTTTTTGGAAAGCATTACATAATCCACGGACGTACAGGATTTTTTACTAACTTGATTAAAATGCAAAGGCACACAACAGCAATAAATAACTTGAACTATTAAAAAGGGTCATGCGTTAACTCGGAAATACTTTTTGCAGCGTCCACTCGGCACACACACCCCCTCCCACGCACTTGTTTATGATTTACCTGGCCTAGTTAGTGGGGTACAATTTCTTATCGTACAAAAATGCACAGCACTTGTACAAATTCCATTGACATTAGAGATTAAGGTTGTTCAAATACATGTAACAAATATCCATTTTCATTAGAAATGTAACCATTTGCCTTTGTGACTCAATACATTGTAAAATATGGTCATATATTTGGAATGTAGCAACACTTCAATTCCTTAAACACAATCATTCAACTCGCAATACATGTATAAAGCAATGTGTGTATAGATTATTTTCAATTCGTATGTGTTGTGTGAACTATAATTGTGCAACGTAAATCCTGGAGCAACTACACATTCTAACTTGATCACATATTGGCTTCAACAAAATGTATTATTTAATCAAACCACCACTTACAATTGTAATATATTGATAAATGGGCGTGTAGTGGCTAGCAAACTCAACACTGAACTTGGCAACCCGAGTTTAATGCCTAACCATGGCAAACATCAGTGGCGAGTGACTGTCTGATCCAGTCCTGGATTCTCACCCCAAATTCACCAACACGCACTGACCAGCATGGTGAAGTATGTTCAAACAGCATCCATAACTTACATGTTGTGAAAAGGATTCAGGAGAGAGTTTGCAAAGCTTTTATATTCCTCAATTGAAGGATCGAAGACTGCAGCAGAATTACTATATAGCCGTGGGCTAGCAGACCTCAACATCAACATCGAGCTCCTTAAAATATTGCGATACGCAATAGAATAGAATGCTGCGAGAGGCATTAATCCTGCCAGAGTAAATTTAGTTTTACATTCCAAAATAATAGCTTTGCTTAAAATGACGTGCCTTTACATGTGAACAGCACGCCCACCTCTTCCAACTGCACCTCTTCCGTCTCGCTGTACGGTAGAATACCACTGGTCTTGCGCTCGTGGCTCTTGTTCGCCTTCTCGTGGTCCTGTGTGCGCTTAACGACACGGTCAAACGGATCCCTGGCGCCGCTGCCGCCGCCGGCGAGAACGTCGCCGTGGTGCTGCTCCCTGTCGTTGAAAGGGACGCGCGGGCTCATGGTCGCCTCCATCGGCGGCATAGGCCTGCCTGTGGCCCGGCAGGCGGCGCGACGCCGAGCGCGCGAGCGTGGCCTTTGTCGGCACCGGCGACTCGATGCCCTCCTCTGCGCACGCAGGCAAGGCACAGCAGACAACATAGCAACAGCGTAACCGGAACAGCTTCACACATTTGTTTTTTGTTAAGACACGAGTGATACAATTGTTTTTTTTTATATACATTTGACACATTTTTTATAAAGGTAATTAACTCATGATTGGAGTTCACTACCAATGAGCTGAGCAGCAGAGAAATGCAAATATTGCATTCACACTGAAGGTATTGTGACAAAGTGCAACAAACGAGGACATACGTCGCTTCCAGTTGACAATGAGTGCAGAGCCCATGTAATCTTCCGTTTTTAAATTGCTCAGAACAGTTTAATGTCAACAGTTACTTTGTTTAACTAGTGTATTCTTTAACCGGATGCTCAGGTGAGAGAATATTTTGTTGACACTGTGGTCCTGGTGACGGTGTAGGGTGATTTGTCACCAAGGATAGGAGATACAGCACAGACTGTGTTCCGTGAAGTTGACACCTTCCCCAATCGTAAATATCATGACGCCAAAATGACTCCGACAACTCTGGATGCATTGAGTGAAATACCAATTTTTTTTTTATTTTAATGTCTTTGAAGGGCATGTTTTCTAAATTCTGCTCTTATAGCATACGCTTCAAAAAGTTTAATATAAAAATGGATTACCAAAGAAAATATCCTTACAAAATGGTCTTCACCATGCCTAACATGCTACACGGCTTAAAACTTAATTCCGTCTAATACCCGTACCCATTTGAAGCTCTTCTGTAAAACGCTGCGGCAGTTTTGTGCGAGGACGGGGAAAGTCCTCAACATGTTCGGAAGGCCAAGAGTATGCGGAGCGGCCCTTGTGTGTCTGCTCAGCGCTAGCGGTGGGGAGAAGGTGGCTCACGTCCACAAACACGCTGTCACGCGTGGCCGAGTGGCACACCACACTCGAGCCCTCTGCCCAACTGTGCACCGCGGCGGTGTGCTCCGCTCTTGTCGCTCGTTTCGGGAGCATTGAATTTTTGTTGAGGTTACTCGCAAATGGCTCTAAATTTAAACAGATACACATATTTCAACAAATAAACAACAAATAAATAACAGAAGTAAAGCAAATGAAGGAAAAATTGTTAAAATAATTAGTCAATCTTCATTTGAATCTAACTTTTTTGACAATGTTTACAGTGTATATCACCGTGTGTTTGATTAAGCCTGTGATGACAGCTATGGGGTACCTTGATGTGTAAACCACTGGTTAGTGGCTTTTCCGAAGAACGGGCGTTCAGTTTCAACACCCCTTCCCCGCTCTGAGTCCAACTCCTCGTTAAAAAACTTCCCAGCCTTGTGGATTGCAGCAAGCGGTCTGTGTGTGGCGAGGCCTACAATAAATAGAAGTGGCCAATCAATTTATTTGCAATTTTACAAGAACTGTTCGTTGAGGACACCGTGTTCCACACGCACCAATCACCTCCGTTCCCCAGAGCACAAGCAGATGTCAAAGCATTTTCACACCACAAAGCAATTACTTCCGCGTGCAAGCAGGCCACACATGAAAGTTAAATTATTTCCATTAAATGTTACTGCACACTAAATAAAAGCACACCCCATAAAACTGTTATTAATCCAGTGGCTATACATTTTAAAAGTTTGAACACAATTTTATGCTTAACATTAATGAGGTAGTTTTTCCCGATAAGTCACATTTCAAAGCGGAACGCATTCCACAAACCTAGCATTTATAATATTGACGTACAAAAGTTAGCACATTTATGTGCACCATGAAACTAGACTTTACCGACAAATAAACTACGGATAGTAAGTACATGTCAAGGAAACACAGGTCTGCATCACACTAATTATACAAGGACCAAAGCCTGGAGGACAAATTGTACGTGCTCAATATAGAACAAACTTTAGAACGTAATGACTCTGATCTTCCACCGGCAAAGCAGCCTTTAAAAAATAATTGGCTAGGCATCCTTTCGGACGAACAATCAACACTGAGTTTGCCGACACATCCCAAATATAAAATAGCGAAGCTTCAATCACCACACACACACACACCACACAGAGGATATTTACCAGTAAATGAATTGAAATCCTGTCTGCCATGGACGGATGCTGGTAATGGCAATTCTTCACCTGGATTCGCCATGGGTCCTTGAGACCAGCACTCGGGAGCGAACCGTGAATCCTGCAAAGGGGCCTTTCGTTTGTTACCGACTCAGCGCCGCATACATCGCCTGTCCGCAGCAAAAAGTGAACGGCGAGTGGGGGTGGCGCTTGTAATACGAAAAAAATTAACCCGTAAAAACAAAGTTTTTCACTATGAATCCTTTATATGCGTGGCATCGGTTTTATTTTATTATTTATTTCTGTTTTTCTTGAGTAAGAGTTTCATTTTTATCACATTGGTATTTTAAATTAATATGACATTTTTTTCCCTACAAAGTGGAAAATTTAGAAGAAAAAAAATTTCACGAAAATAAATTGTCACGCACAACGAGTCTGTGTGCAAAGTGTCAGCTTCATTGGATCACGGGAAGTGGGTTAAAAAACGACCGAAAGATTTGCATGGCAGTAAGCACGCAAGCAAGCAAGTGAACTTAATATAAAGGATTTAAATAAAAAACAAAAAGGACTCCATCCTTACCGACGGGAAAACGTAACCAACAAAACTCAAGGTCTTTTTCATGGAATTCACATTTGGGCATGCGCTATCTGCGGTTTCTGAGGCTACAAGTTTAACATTAACAAAAACAAATGCTGACGAACGTTTTACCTGGGCAAGAGTGCCAAGCACACCAAGTTGGATGCAGAGGGTGGGTGGGTGAGGGGGGGTGTTCGTCAGTCATAGTACCCCTGCTGTGAGCAGTAAATTCCATCGCCAAAGTACACAACATCCTTTTATGGCCAACTCCAGGACTGGTGGTGGGCAACACATTTCAGTGAAGCGTACAAACAAATAAAATATATGTACGGCATTTAAGCGTGTGTTGTTGCTCCGTTTTAAAGAATTCTGTGGATCAACTTACACCGACAATCTCCCGAACGAGGCTCCTCCTCCATGGGTATTCGAGAGATCGAGTAGAGGCAAGCTCGCGGAATCTCCCATGAATATTTTACTTAATTTCGGACACGTAGAGCCATGTTTGTTCGATAACTGCTGGAAGCGAGCCTCCCCCTACGCAATGTGTATTGGTGGGAGCTTATTCAACCAAACTTCACCGTAAATGTTGAGTCTAACAACCGATTTTTCCGTACTGCCCTCTGCTACTCAACACGTTCTTACCCGGTCACTACACGTGCCTGCCTGCCTGCCTTTCCATTGCGAACGAAGCACTCGCTCCAAAAACTGCCACCATTTACCTGTCGCATGATGGACATGCTGCCACCCGGCAGCCTGTTGCTCTGTGGGATGGACTCAACTGACGCCGACCGAATGAGGAGCTCTTCCTCCCACGGCAGGCGGCTCTTGGGACGTCCCGCGCTCAGCACCCGCCGAGAGCCGACGGGGGCCGTGCCCTCTGGGTGCTGCTGCTGCTGCTGCTGGTGCTGCGGTGGCTGGTGCCGAGCCGACAGCTCCGCCTCGGCGCCGTCGGCGCGGGAGCTGCGAGCGCTGGACGATCCCCCGGCCAGGATCCACTCCATGTCGGCGTCGTGCGTGGCCGCCTCCCGCGCACCCCGCGCGCCAGCCGATGACGGGAAGTGCGTGGCGTACTCCACGAGGCCCGAAGCGCCCAGCTTGGGCAGCTGCCGCCTGGCCAGCCGCGCCTGCACCGCGGCCATGAGGCCGTCCACGTCGGCGCTCAGCTCCACGGCGTCGACCGCGTCCACCAGCGGCGGCAGCTTGCCGGGGCCCATGAGCGCCGCGAGCACCGCGAACGTCTCGAGGGCGGCGTGCCGCACCTTCCGCTTGGGGTCTGCCAGGCTGGGCGCCAGCACCCGGCACAACTCGGGCAGGTTGAAGCGGCTCCGCGGGAAGGAGAGCACGGCCGCGATCACCGTGCTCAGGATGTCCTCCCGCACGCGCGCGTTGCTGCGGCTGCTGCCGAGCGCGCCCAGGAGGATGTCGAGCACTCGCTGCGGCGGCACGGCCTCCATGAGGCTCAGGAAGATCCTCAGGCACTCCTGCTTGGTCACCTCCTTGCCGTCGCCCAGCACCTTCACGAGAGCCGCCACCAGGGGCTGAGCGTAGCGGCCCAGCTCGCTGCGCAGCTTGCCCACCAGCATGCCGATGAGCTCCAGGGCGCCGTGCGACACCTTGAAGTGCACGTCGTCGAGCACGTTGCTCAGGAAGCCGACGAGTCCCAGGACGTTGCACGCGGCCAGCGTCCTGCCGTCGGCGCGGACGATCGCCTCCTTGAGTTTGTCCACGGCGCCCACTCGCCGCTTGTAGTCCGTCTCGTCCACCAGCTCGTGCATCACGTGGCGCGGCACGATGCCGAACTCGCAGTCCTCGAGGCCCGACGCGGCCACGACGCTGCCGCCGCCGCTGCTGCCGTCTCCGGGCTCCCTGGGAGAGGCCGCACCGGAGGCCACCGCCGCCGTCGTCGCCACCACGACGCTGTGGGCCCCACCGCTCGCCGCTCGCGACCTCTTGAGCAGCTTCTCCACCTCGGCCCTGAGCGAGGCGGGCAGTCTGCGCAGACAGCCGTCGAAGACCGCGTCCCCCACCAGCGACCACACGTGCTCCAGGCACTTGAGCGCCGCGGGGTCGTGCTGGGTGGGCCCCGTCTCCAGGCCGCCACCCGGCGGCGTGAGCTTCTCAGCGGCGGCGCGCACCACCTCGCCGAGGTCCTCGCGTGCCGAAGTCTTCCCGCGTGAGCAGCACGGGCAACAGGAGCAGCGCCTGCGCGCTCACGTCGCCGTCCCGGCTGCGCACCCCGTGCTCGAGCAGCGCGCCCACCACGTGTCCGCGCCGGCGCGAGTGGCGCCCGTACACGTGCAGGGTCTGCAGCGCGGCCTTGCGCACCGCCGCCTGCGGGTCGCCCAGCTGCGCCACGAGGCGCGGGGTCACGACGGCCATGCAGCGCTCGAGCTGCGGGCCCAGCTCGGGCACCACGTCGCCGATGAGCTCCAGGCACTCCTTCCGCAGTCGCCACGCCTCGCCGCCGCTCAGGAGGGCGCCCAGGGCCTGGAAGAGCGCCGCGCGTTGCTCCGACAACGCCGCCGACGCCGGCGCCGACGAGGAGGCGAGGCCGCCGCCCGCGTCCGCCGTGGGGGGGTAAAGCGAAGCGCGGCCGCCGCCCCGACTCGAGCCGGGGGGGGCCAGGCCGAGGCGGAGTCGGCCCAGGGCGGCCGCTCGCTCCGAGTCGCTCCCGCGCCGGAGCTGCTCGAGCACCGCGGGGTCCTCCATGGGGCGCGGGGACGCGACTCCCTCCTCCTCCTGGGATCTCGGACTCCCACCGAGGCGACGGGGAAGGGGAGGTCGAGGCGGTGTTTGACGCGGTGGCGATTCGGAAACAATGCTGCCCCCCCCCCCCCCCCGTTAGGTGCGGCCGCTCTTACAAGTGGCCCAAGGCGCAGGACGGCGGCGGCGTTGCGGCGTTGGCGTTGAACGCGGCCACTTGGAGAAGCGGTCAGGTCGAAGCGCGCGGGCTGGCGGGGTTTAAACAGCGGAACGGGCGGAAGCCGCGGCGCGAGGCAGAAGAGAGACGACGCAGAAGAAGGAGGAGGAGGAGACGGCTGCGCGGGGCCCCACGGATGAGCGTCGATCTTCGTCGTCGTCGTCGTGGCGGCCGCCGCGGTCCAACGAGGGCGCCGTGCGGACACCGCGGGGCCCCCCCCCCGCGCCGCGTCTCCCCTAGCAACGGCGGCCTCGCACCCTCCTCGCCACAGCGGCGGCAGCAGCAGCCATCGGCTTCGACGACGATTTTAGTTGTGAAGTGGAACGGCGGTGGGTGGCGGGTGGCGAGGACGGGAGCGGCGGCGTTGTTTGTTGTTGACGTCCCGGAGCGTCCGCGCAGATTAAAACCCCGCGGCGGCGGCGCCGAGATGGCGGCCACGCGATCGCCAAGGGGGGAGGGGCGGGGCGAGGGGAGGGGCGGGGCGAGGGGAGGGGCGGGGCGAGGGGCGGGGCGAGGGGCGTGGCAAGAGGCGAGGGGCGTGGCAAGGGGCGGGGCGGAGGGGCGGGGCGTCTTTACGTGACGCCGCTTCCCGCGCGCGCGCTCGCGGGAAGTGACGTCACGCGCGGCGGAAGCGGCGACGGGGGCAACGCCGTGGCGACCCTGGGGCCTGGGGAGGCGGTGGCGCTGTCGCGTTGTGTTTGGTGGTGGTGGTGTTGTGTTGTGGTGTGTTGTGTAGTGTTGTGTGGTGGTGTTGTGTTTGGTGTTGTGTGGTGGTGGTGTTGTGTTGTGTGGTGGTGGTGTTGTGTTTGGTGGTGTTGTGTTTGGTGTTGTGTGGTGGTGGTGTTGTGTGGTGTTGTGTAGTGTTGTGTGTAGTGTTGTGTGGTGGTGGTGTTGTGTGGTGTTGTGTAGTGTTGTGTGTAGTGTTGTGTGGTGGTGGTGTTGTGTGGTGGTGGTGTTGTGTGGTGGTGGTGTTGTGTGGTGTGTCTGGTGTTGTGTTTGTGTGGTGGTGATGTGTGGTGTTGTATGGTGGTGTGTGTGGTGGTGGTGTTGTGTGGTGGTGGTGGTGGTGTTGTGTGGTGGTGTTGTGTTTGTGTGGTGTTGTTGTGTGGTGTTGTATGGTGGTGGCGTTGTGTGGTGTTGTGTGGTGGTGTATGGTGTTGTGTGGTGGTGGTGTGTGGTGTTGTTGTGTGGTGGTGGTGTTGTGTGGTGGTGTGTGTGTGTGGTGGTGTGTGTGGTGGTGGTGTTGTGTGGTGGTGGTGGTGGTGTTGTGTGGTGGTGGTGTTGTTTTTGTGTGGTGTTGTTGTGTGGTGTTGTATGGTGGTGTGTGTGGTGGTGGTGTGTGGTGTTGTATGGTGGTGTGTGTGGTGGTGGTGTTGTGTGGTGGTGGTGGTGTTGTGTGGTGGTGGTGTTGTGTTTGTGTGGTGTTGTTGTGTGGTGTTGTATGGTGGTGTGTGTGGTGGTGGTGTGGTGGTGGTGTTGTGTGGTGGTGGTGTGTGGTGGTGTGTGTGGTGGTGGTGGTGGTGGTGGTGTTGTGTGGTGGTGGTGGTGTTGCGTGGTGTGGTGGTGGTGTGTAGTGTGGTGGTGGTGTGTGTGGTGGTGTGTGTGGTGGTGTGTGTGGTGTTGTATGTGTTGTTGTGTGGTGGTTGTGGTGTTGTGTGGTGGTGGTGTTGTGTTGTATGTGTTGTTGTGTGGTGTTGTGTGGTGGTGTGTGTGGTGGTGTGTGTGTGGTGTTGTGTGGTGTGGTGGTGGTGGGGTGGTGGTGGTGGTGTGTGTTTGTGTTGTGTGGTGGTGGTGTTGTGTTTGGTGTTGTGTTTGTGTGGTATGTCTGGTGTTGTGTGGTGGTGGTGTTGTGTGTAGTGTTGTGTGGTGGTGTAGTGTTTGTGTGTGGTGGTGGTGTTGTGTGGTGGTGGTGTTGTTGTGTCTGGTGTTGTATGGTGGTGTGTGTGGTGTTGTATGGTGGTGTGTGTGGTGGTGGTGTTGTTGTGTGTGGGCCCCGGTAGTGTAGCGGGTAGCGCTACGCTGCGTTCCGAACCTGGCGACCTGAGTTCGATTCCCGCTCACGGCCACCAACACCCATTGACGATTATCTGAACCGGTCCTGAGCCTCCCCTAGGTCGACTCAGCCTTAAATGAGTACCCGGTGCCGTGTGTAGTAAACATCGCCACTGGGGGAGACAAAGGCGGCCGGGCATGGTGCTGGCCACCCACCCCGTTGTGTGCCGTGCCGGCCTTCATAGGTGCTCGCTAACACAACTTCACCCAACAGTCTGTTATAATAGGGGGGCATCTGAGAAGCGGGGAAGAAAGGAAGTAGTCTTTCCTCTTCCGGAAGAGTACTTCTATGTAGCAGGAGAAATCTCCCAGAAGAGGAGGGCCACCCGTTGGAGGAGTGTAACGATGGAGCACTTTTACAACGACTGTCAAATAAAATTCACAGTAATCCATTGAGTGTCTGTTCACAGATACTTGGCAAACACGTAATGACATGTGTGTAGATATCACCTAAATATAACTTTCGCGGTTTGTATTTTGTACCGCGGTGGCGAGATGTTAATTCCCTCGCCTGGTATACAGGAGGTCAGGGTCGATCTCGACCCTGACGCCTGCTGCTGTATATTTGGAGTGTTCATGTCATCTTTCTCTCGCCTTGGTCGCGTGGATTTTTCTCCGGGTCCTCCAGAAACGTGCGTTTAGAGAATTTGGCTGCTTTAAATTTCCACACGATAAGCCACTTCGTTGAGCTGTCATTTGTGGCCAGGTAGCTTCTGAAGAAAAAAATAGTTCAATATTTGTTTTTATTGTTTAACTGCTGCCAATCAACACCAGCTCACAAGCCAGCACTGCTGAATGGCTGAAGAACCCAGACATCGATTATTCTAAATCGTTTGTAGCTATTCCAAAAAATTGTTGCTTATCTCTGCAACACGTCGTACGAAAGGTGGATACGGGTTCTGTATAACGATTTCTCGCTTCGGAGATAATGGTTAAAGTCAAGGATCAATTTAAGCAACGTGACTTGCTGACCTACGACTGGACATCTGTGGAAAAAAACAGCTTCATAGCTCATCGGATTCCTCCAGGATAAACACTTTTTCTGATTCTGAACATTTTCATTGGCTTGTTTGTGCAATTATTTTCATACAATTTGTACACATCGTAAATAATCGATAATAAATTCACTTTTTAGTTCACCGTTTCAGGTTGAGTGGACCTGGTGGGAGAACAGACACGCAATGCCACTGCTCATATGCTGTACTCCCCACCCTACCAACTCTTCTCTTCCCTTGCATGCAATGCTTTACCAAAAACGCCATAATTTATCCAATAAGTCACACCACAAACAACAGTTCGTGTTAAATACTTTATCCTGGATTACAACAACGTACATTCAAACATGAAGCATTACAAATGTCGCTCCCACCCTGCAATTTGACGAGAATAGAGGCCACATTTGTCATTCACACAATGTGTAGCATTTCCAAATTCATAATCCTATTATCGAAAGACAATGGCAAGCCTTTATGGCAATACCCTAAATATTGCAACGACATTTCGAATACTTTTTTTTCAAATCAAATGGTTCAGGTTTTGCCGAACAGGTAAAAAACAAACTATTCAAATCTTTTAATATTCCAATGTTTATACTTCCACTTCACAAAGCTCATGGCTGACATCTGTGCTAATCCAAAGCACTACATACAGGTGACATCATGACAAGGGGGCATTCATACGCGTTACAGAGATAAGCAGGTGTCAAGCTTGACAGTCGATCACTCCGTATCACTCGTGTCTATTCACGTGCTAACTTAAGAAAAATTCATAATGTGTGTGAACCCTGATAAAGACCCAATTTAAAAAGTATTCAAAGCATGAATAGATGCATGCTGAGATTTAAAAAACAGCATGTACAAATAAGAGACACCATAAAATTAACACGTAGGCTTTCGTGACCAATATTCATGATAAAAGTCGTTTGGGTTAGATCACGTGAATGTGTTGTACACCCACCTGCACCAGACAGCCATTTAGTGAGTTTGTCACATGACCAGAACGTGCATTATTACTTCAGCACACCGGTTGTGTGTTGGAGAACAAACCCACAACATTTACAATTGAGTACGACGTTTCGCTGGTGATAGTGAAACGTGTATTAAGGTGCGGGAGATCTGAGGGAGAGACGACACGAACGGTTGATGTTGTGACCATCGCTGGTCCGGATAAGATGTTTATGTTGTAATCAGAAGAGCTTAGCCACTTTTGATAGTGGGTCGTGGGCACGAGTAGCATTTTTTTTGGTACGGTGGCATCTGTGGTTAGTACAACAATGTTTAGCAGCAGTAGCCCAACAAATGTTCACAACTAGTTGAAGAACTTAAAAATACTTAATTCTTGATTTGAGGCTTTCGTGACTGCAGGAATTCATACTCTTTGGTTCTTTCGGTAAAGTCACGTAGTTAGAAATAATACTTATTCCGGAAATGTTTATGAATTATATCCTCGAGTCTGGGACTGGCTTGGAAATTTAATCCGATATGTATGATAACGTGGATAGTGATCATGATAGTGATAATAGTACGTCAATGCTGTTTAGCAGAAAAGCCTGAGTCGCAAGACGGTCTCTTTTTCAAGAGGATCCTGCATTGAATTGTTTCACCAATTCCACGAATAAGTGCTTGACATTTGGAAGAAAAACTGTTTACTCATCAAATCTCGCATATACGAGGGAATACCACTCAAAGCTCCATGCATAAAGATGAAAGACTCAAGAATTCTTCTGCGTGGACTGCCATACCAAAAATGTTAAGAACTGAACCTGACCCAAACTAGGATCGTAGTGCAGCATTCTTCATATTTACTACACACCTATCGGTTGTGCCATTCCACCAGGTTTACCTTCCCGCGACTTCAGAAAATAACATCTAGTTTCGATGTAAAGCTTTCGTGACTGCAGGGATTCATCTTCATGGTTCTTTTAGTAAAGTCACGTAGAATGGAAATAATAAATATAAAAATAAAACATAATAAAATAAATCTCACTATTATGTTTTTTATTATTATTTTATTATTTCCATTCTACGTGACTTTACCGAAAGAACCAAGAAAATAACATCTCATTGTTAAGTGGTCGAGGACGGCGCTGCCCCCGTGACGGTCATGACTGCGAGATATGCGTGAAGGCCCTCACTCTGCTTAGTTCTCCTCCGTGGGGCCCGGGGAGCAGATGCCTCGTCCCTGCACGAGGAAGTCGGGGCCCCCGTCCAGCTTCCTCGGGTCACCGTGGCCCTGGGCCACGCAGCTGTACTCCAACCCGGCATCCGCACGGCCACCGTCGTCCGCGGAGCTGTCATGACAAAAGCGGAGTCCAGTAGGTCACCAAGATAGCATTTACAACGAACGCGTGAGAATATCGCCTTCGTGTGTTTTTGGGGTTTGTCCCGCAACGTTGTCCGACGTTTCAGTCCGTGCGCTGTGACCTTTTTCGGCACATGGAGTGAAACATCGGACATCGTGCCAAGCAACAGGCAGTAGAACACACGGCACGACCAGAATACAGTACTCATCACAGAGCTGTGCAGCTTGATGGTGAAAATCTGCATAGTAAAGCTTAGGAGAGTACACGTACAGCCTTTGGTCAATCCACTGCTGGATGAGGGCATCTCTGTGCCGTGCGGGTCGTGGGGGTTATATTCTCATACTTCACCATGGTGGTGATTTCGGGTGGGAGCATGATAGTACAATAGTGGATTTGCTGTACACAGAGTAGCTCCACAGCCTATAACACCTGTTAAGCGAGGTGGTTATCCATTTAAATTATGGTATGTACACAGTACAAAGAAAAAATATGTCAGCACAAATATAAGCAATTGATTTAAATACATATATGTTATTTCAAAGAGACCTTTTTTTACGGAAACACCATGTGACAGTCGAAGAGCGACATCAGATGTTTAGGAATTGGGTTGATTTCTTAAAATTGGGATCTAAACAAAAAAACGTGTGCCTGTTGATGTGTTGTGAACAATACCAAACGTTTCAGAAAAATACTTCTCTTCGTCCCTCTTTCCTCGCATTGCTCAACATTAGAACTCCCTCCAAATCGTCTCTGCACCCCCAAGTTCCTTTAATCTTGACTTAATTAAAGACGCATCTTGGGTTATTATCTGCTATACTAGTGCAAAGACGACTTGGACGCACTTGTCTTGAGATGGTTTATTTAAGGTGCCACGTGCTCGCAATCGAACAGGCGGAGACCCCCACTGCAACAGCCTCGAATCTCCCGCGCGTCTCCCTTAAATACGATCAGAGGCCACGCCCCACCTCATTCCCAAACCTTCTCGCTGGTTCTAGACCACTCACTCTACCAGCAGACTCCACTGTCCTCTTCCATCACCTGGCCATGCTCCTATTCTCGATCATTCCCATAGCCACCAGTCCCTTTGTACTGCAGGCTCACTTCCCTGCCATTACCTGTCGTGGCCACTAGTCCATTCACACTGCAGGCTGACTCCCCTGTCATTACCTCCCGTAGCCACTAGTCCATTCAGACTGCAGGCTCACTCTCCTGCCATTACCTGCCATGGCCACTAGTCCACTCACACTGCAGGCTCACTCCCCTGCCATTACCTGCCGTGGCCACTAGTCCATTCACACTGCAGGCTGACTCCCCTGTCATTACCTCCCGTGGCCACGAGTCCATTCACACTGCAGGCTGATTCCCCTGTCATTACCTTCCGTGGCCACTAGTCCATTCACACTGCAGGCTGACTCTCCTGTCATTACCTCCCGTGGCCACTAGTCCACTCACACCGTATGTTGACTCTACGATCGTTACACAAGCAACGGTGTCTTAGCTGCTTGCTATTTTACGCTAAATATCCCCCTTTTCACCTGTGTCCAGCAATCATGATTAAAAAACCTAAAAACTTCTGTTCATATGTCTATTGCATATTCAAACATAAAAATGGAAATACGTAGTAACGTATACAGTCTTAAGCTTGAACATGAAGTTGCTGCAGAATATGCTATTACATGCACCCCCAACTTCTGCATTTCCAAATTGAATTATGTAATCTCTCCTAATGCCCATGTTCACAGCATGTGTGCTGTGTAGGATGAGCAGGAGGTACATTGCCAGTCTGCCAATTTGACATGAAACCAAATTGCAACGATTTCTGTTCAAATCCGCATGGCCGCTCATAGGCCAAGCGCAGCCAGACACGTACTCGAATTTTCCTGAGAGACCAGACGAGTCGTCTTCACACTCCTCCTTGGACGCCCTGGCCGCTGCACTCCTGGCACCTTTGCATAGTGCATGCGCCTGCTGTTGTTGTTGATGCTGATCCGTTTGATATTGTGAGCTGGCATTGTTATACAGGCTCTGGTCATCCGTCATATTTTTCGCTTTAAACATGGAGCTGGGCGCACTGCAAAAGATAGAACCAGCGTTTGTTTTGGGGGACTGCCTGCACTCAGAAGTTGCTTCATCCGCTAAGCTTCTCGGCACTGCCACCGCAGGCTCGTTCATCAAAAATGTTCCCATTTTTTCTTGGATCGCCGGTGAAAGCTGCCTGAGCCGGCCCGGGCTCCGCTGCCTGCCATGGGGTGGCGGGCTGGGCAGCTTCCGTTGGCCGAGTGGGGGGCTGGGCAGCTTGCGCTGTTCTCCGGGTGGGCTGGGGAGAGGACACGGAGTGGAATGGCCCGGCTGTAGGGGCGGACTGGGCAACCTCCGAAAGGCCTGCCTGCGCTGCAGGTGCTGGCTTGGCTCCGTCGCCCAAGGTGGAGTGCTGGGGCATGCGCCCCTGGGTGGTGGGCTGAGCTGGCCATCGTGCGACAGTGGTTTGAAGTGCCTGCTACTCAGAAGGGGTGGACTCGTCTGTTCCTCCTCCGTGGAGGGCAGGTGGACTTGTCTCCACTGTCGGGGTGGACTTGCATTCCTTCGTTGAGATGGTGGACTCGGTTGTCTGATTATCGGTGGACTGGCCTGTTCAGTCAGAGGTGGACTTGACTGTTTGTCAGGGCAAGGGAATGTTACTCGCCTCCACTGTGACGGTGGGCTAGCACCCCTGCATTGAGGTGGTGGGCTTGGTTGTCCAGTCCAAGGTGGGCTGGCCCGCCTTGTACATGGTGGGCTGTGGTCTCTTGTACTAGGTGGGTTAGTCTGTGTGGTTCTAGGTGGGCTTGCTTGTCTAATACCAGGTGGGTTAGTCTGTGTGGATCTAGGTGGGCTGGGGTGTCTGGTTCGAGGTGGACTTGGCTGTCTGGAACTAGGTGGGCTAGCCTGTGTGGGTCTAGGTGGGCTGGGGTGTCTGGTTCGAGGTGGACTTGGTTGTCTGGAACTAGGTGGGCTAGCCTGTGTGGATATAGGTGGGCTGGGGTGTCTGGTTCGAGGTGGACTTGGCTGTCTCGTTCTAGGTAGGTTGGCCTGTGCGGCATGTTGTGCCAGGCTTTCCCGTCCTGTCTGAGACTTTGTACTTGAATCTTTATGTTGTGTAGGTGGACTGGGTTGTCTCCAGTGGGGCGGTGGGCTGGCCTGCCTGGCTGTAGGTGGACTCGACTGTCCATCTGGGTTAACTATATGACTCTTTCTCCATTTTGCAGGACTTTTATTTTTGTGCTGAGATGGGGGGCTGGGAGGCCTGGCTTGAGACACGCTGTCCTGCCTGTCTCTGAGTGGTGGGTTGCCTTGTGGAGGTTTTGAATCGGCACTTATGTCCATGTAGCTGCCATCTCCCCGCTCCTTTGCGTTGGAATGTTGGGAAGGCGGAATGAGCCCATCGTCAATATTCATGAGGCTGTCGGGGCAAACTACAGATTTGAGCAACCGGTATCGTGTGGGCAGTGGAGGAAGAACTCCCACAGCATTAAAAAGCTTCGGCTTGAATGGTATGCAACTTGTGCTGCTGTAGCTAGGCATGACAGGGATCCTGCTTGAATTGGTTTTAGGTGTGATAACTGGCACAACCCTGCTCAGTGGTATATGGGGCTCATTGTTTTCCTCTGGCAGAGATGGCTGGGCGTGGGGAATGATGGCTTTTAAAGGACCAGATTTTTTTAGAGAGGAAACCTTGTTGCTCTTTGGCTGCTCATTCTTGTTCCCTTTAAGCACGCCGTGACTTGGCAGCACGCTGAAGCCCTTATCGAGTGACGTCTTGATCCTGCTGCTCCTCGGCTGGGAGCCCTGCGCGGCACTGGATATCTTCGGCCTTCTCTGCTTGTCCATGAGGACACTCTGCTTCGCCGTCTGGAACGTCGTCTCCAGGCACTTGGCGATGCTCTTCTGCACGCGGTGCAGCTCCCGGAGCGTCACGTCCTCCTGCTGGTTGGCGAGCGAGTCGGCTGACCGCGAGCGCCTCCTGTTTGCGCCCTTTGATGGGCTGCCTTGTGCCGTTTTGGGCCGGTTGCCCGACTGCAGTTTCCCCCCCTCCTCCTCTGACCATTCCGGGTCTGGGGGCCCTGGCGACATGAACAGAATGCGACTGCTGATGGCCTCCTTCAGCTTCAGTACCAGCTCGTCCATCTCGCTCGAGTTGCCCACGATTTGCATCACGTGCTGCTTCGCGAAATCAATTTGCCGCTCGTCTTCACGCTTTCTGTCCCACGTCGCATCCAGAACGCCGACCTCGACATGCGCCTCGTCCACGATTTCATCTGCGAGTGCGTCCAGAGAGCGCAAGAACGAGGTCCTGCCCTGCTCCGCCATGCCGCGGTCGAGCGGTGCAATCGCGGTGCGTCCCACCGCCGCGCTCTCGGTGTCCCTCGACTCGGCAAACATGGGAATCTGCGGGGGGTAAAAGACGTCCTTGAACTGCTTCTCAAGCGCGCAGTGGTGGGACATGGACCTGTTGCCCGGCGGCTCCGTGCCCTCCAGCTGGCACACCGCGTTGCACACGAACGTGTGCCCGTTGCCGGGCGGCCGCGACTCGCATCGCCGGCCATCCCTGCGAGCGCACGCGTGCGTGCCGCTCGGCGAGTCGGTGCTCATCTCGCTCAGGGACTCGTAGTCGGCGGCGATGCCGCTGTCATCCGAGAGGGCTGTGGCTCTCTCGTCCGCGCTCGGTGACGGGGCGGCTCCCACCGCATGCAGAGCGAGATGCGCCATCGTAGCCGCCACGCTCGAGTCCAACCGCATCTTGGCGATCATCTTCTCCTGGAGTTTCTCGTGCGCCGACTTCATGTAGCCGACGATCAAGTTGAGGGCCCCCGACGTGGTGCTGTTGGTGCTGTCGCCGATGCCCTGTAGCTTGTTCACCGAGTAGCGCAGCACCTGCTGCGGTAAGTCAAGCCCTTCCATCTTGTCACTGCACTGCGTCGAAAGTCCGAATTTCAAACTCTTGAGCAGCGCTTCGCCGGTGAGCACGGCGCTCTGCATCGTGCTGTTGATCTCCTCGCACTTGAAAAACAGGAAGCTGATCATTTGCTGCAAGCTCTGCTGGGTCTCCACTATTTGGTCGGCAGAATTCATCATGTCGTCGTAGTCGTGCAGCGTGCGGTTCAGATACTCGTAGACGGCCTTGTGAGCCTCCACCATTCCGTCGGGAAAGTCGATCTTACTCCGCTCTTCCTGCCCGTCCGCCTCGCTCGGACGCCGCTCCCGCTCCGGATTACCATCCTCCCGTGTCTCGCCGACATTTTCAGGCACGGCTGGGCAGTGATACTCGAAGTCGTCCACTTTGCTCGACGCCTTTATTTTCGCGATCAAATCTTCGGCAAATGCCGGCTGTCCCGCGATCACCTCGGACATCACGAGCGAGGCGCTATTGACGATCCTCTCCCTCAGCCTCTCCTCCACACAGACGTGCACGATGTCCTTTTCTCTCGGGACGTAGTAGTAGCCGACGTGGCCGTCGTCGTCCGCGTCCGAATCGTCCGTCGTGTGTTCCCCATCGTCGCCGCGACGGCCGCTCGAGGTCGTCACCCAGTCGGACCGTGAGCATCGCTCGCTGACTGCTCCATCGCACGAATCCCGCAGCGGCTCCTGCGCGCAGGACTCATCTGAGCAGGTGAGGCCCAAGTGGCCAGGTAAGGAGGGCAGCACGTCCGCGTGAGATGGTGTACACCCCATGGCAAATTCTCTTCAACCTGTAAAGACAGGACACAGATATTACAGGTGTGCGAATGCAAATATTTACAATGCACAAACCGTACTTTGTTGAGGAAATGAAATGACCAAACCATGACATAAACGTTCGGCGTTGTTCTGGACGTGTCGGAACATTCTTGAATGAGTGTGCATTGTTTAAAAAAGAAAAACTATACAAATAACACAGTGATTTTATTTAGGTTAACAACAATCAGTTTATCAGCTGTTCACGTCGATCACTGAACAACTTTTATTTAATGACAACCAAGTTGTGAACAAATATCAACTTTTTGGTTCTTTCAGTAAAGTCACGTAGAAAGAAAATAAATTAAGCAATAGAATACGACGTTTCGATTGCAACACATCAGGTAGAAAACAAAGCTAGTGACCTTAGAAATACAATGCAATCCAACACAGAGAGTCGGCTAACACAACAGTCAGCACCTCACCTGGTTGATTACATTCATCCAAAGATTGCTAAATTTGACAGAGAGACAAAACACAGACACGGAGACACACAGACAGACACACAAGCAGAGAGAGAGACAACACAGAGACACACAGAGAGCGACACACAACATAGACACACACACAGAGGAAGAACTTAGAGTAATTCCTGCAGTCACGAAAACTTCAAATCAATAAATATCAAGTTCATTAAAACCATTCTATAGTCACATTATACAACATTAAAAAGCTATCTACAAATGTAATACATTATTATATATATACAGCCAACCCAGTGCTCTCGGGGGGGAAATATAAAACAAACAGTTGTTTAAGTCACCATTTATTTCAAATTACATTTGAAACAATTGCCTTGTTTGCATGGCAGCTGGTTGGCTAAGCAGAGCTCGGATTAAAGAGAACACGACGGACAAAATAAGCCTCATCGCTCCGTACCTCCGTGGCGATGACAAAACGCAGCCAACGTTGTCCATCTTCCACGGCAGCCGCCCTTCGGCACGGACTCCATGTGATCGGTGACGCCGCAGCCACTCATCAAAACAACAACAGCAGCAGTTTTAATTGTATTTGACACCTTATCGTCGATTCGCTCGCACATTGTCCACGGGTCGCCACCAGCGCAATGACGACACTCGCCTGCCACGTCCGTCGCGCAAGGGAAAAACACGCAGATGGTGGCGCGAGGTATTAGGGTAAAACTCTAAGCTGATTAGCGGGATTCTCAGGCGAGATCTGGCGCGTGCCTCGTGGTGCCACCTGAACGGGATGGCGCTGACGGAGTGGGTGACGGCGGTGCTAGAAAGCTGTGCCTGGGAGGCTAACCCACACAGACACACAAACGTGAGAAATGTTCAATTGCATTAAGCCACAGTGGCTTGGGGAGAACCATGGTGGCGAGATGTTAACTACCTCGCCGGGTATGCATGAGGTCGTGGGTTCAGTCCCAACCCTCATGCTTGTATTCTCTCCTTGTGGTCGTCGTGTGTATTTTCTTCCAGGCCCTCCCGTTTTTCTCTCTACATTTAGAAACATGTGTTTAGAGTATTTGGCTGCTATGCATTTCTACATGATAAGCCACTTCGTTGAGGTATCATTTGTGGCCAGGTGGCTGGCCACATACTAACCAGTCCCCATGACCCAACAGGCGTGGGGAGTCCTTCATCCAGCAGGGGATTGACAAAGAACAATAATTCACAATGTAAGTGCACATGTTTACCTCTGCTCACACTCCCCAATTACCAATTTTTTTGTCAATTGCACAACTAGCAGCGAGACGTGGTGACGCGTGGCATCTGCCCTGCCCGTATGTTCCCTTCATCAATGGTGAGTGACACATTTTCTGAGCCAAGCACTCACTTCATAACGCATCTCATCAATAAGTGACTCCCCCCACAATCGATCATCAGCCAGGTCCATTTTTATTTAATCGATCACCACAACAGTTATGAAAACAACACGTAAGAAATCACGACAGCAGTCTAGCGTAGACATCCACTCGTCTACAGAGCCGGTGAGCCAATGTGTGAATCCACGTCTTAGTAGGCGTTCTATCGCCGTGCCGAGTTTCACGTTGATCGGTCCTGACGCATTCAAGGTCACGTCCCCGCAGACATTTTCAGATCAGTCCCAAGTCTGGAAGCTCCCAGCGTGACGTCCCCTTGCTGTGCTGTGCGGTCAAATCCCACCGTGACTGAAGGAGGCATTCGCAACCCAGCCGCCACAGCCCGGCGCAAAATATTCAAGCGTCGACCTTTCAGAGCTCGGCTTGTATAAAAACCTTACGTAAAAACATTTTAAGACCTGTGGTCTATTACGTGAACATGTCAAGGCAATAAAATAAGTATAACCCGTAAAAACAAAGTTTTTCACTCTAAATCCTTTATATGCGTGGCGGCTAGTGTCCTCTCGTCCTCTGGCTTGAGATGGCTGCCACCTATGGGTCAGATGATTGTCTGCAGTATTAAACAATTGGTAATTAAATATTTAATTTGTTTTCCCTAAACAGTGTAAAATTGTGGAAAAAATTTTTCACGAACATTAATTGTCTGTCACAACGAGTCTGTGTGGAAAATGTCAGCTCGATTGGATCACGGGAAGTGGGTTAAAAAACGACCGAAAGATTTGCACGGTCGTAAGCAAGCAAGCACGCAAGCAAGCACACAAGCAAGCAAGCACGCAAGCAAGCAAGCGAACTTAATATAAAGGTTTTAAAAAGATGTAACATCCAAGGCAGTAAAATGAGTTTTCGTGGCTCGCGTTTGTTTTATTCAAAACGATGACTCAATCGGTCAGTTATATTCTACGATCTCAGCCTTCTCACCACCTGAACTGGAACCCAAGTAAATAAGAGGAAATATACTCTTTGGTTCTTTCGGTAAAGTCACGTAGGCATAAAATAAAATAGATCACGGTGTTTCGGGCGCAACACAAGCGTCCGTCATCAGGTGGGAAAGCATGGTCTGCTGCTGATGCAGACTGTTTTAAAAAGGTTTGAAATGGGTGCAGCCCAAGGGTCATAAAGAAGTGGCTGGGTCTAGTGATGTTAATGTGGGAAATTATCATGTAACTGGGCACGGAAGTGGCTATGTTAATGTGGGAGATTAGCATGATGTTAATGTGGAAAATTAGCATGTAACTGGGTACGGAAGTGGCTATGTTAATGTGAGAGATTAGCACGGAATAACAGCTAAAATAACAGCTGACATGTTGCGCCCGAAAGGCCGCTTGTGTTGCGATCGAAACGTCGTGAGTTTTTTTGCTTTCATTACTTTCACATTTTATTATATTTTTTTTATTTGTATTTTCTATCTCCGTGACTTTACCGAAAGAACCAATAATATGAAATCCTGCAGTCACGAAAGTTTTAAGTGAAGACATATATATTTTAAAAGTGTCATGCACAGTGCATGTGACACGCATTTCAACCCCTTCACACTTCTCAGATGCGCACGGAGTCTCATGCAATTTTTTTTCTCACTGCCAACCCGCTTCGGCAGACGCAAACACAAATCGCGCACAAACGCACACTACTGACACGCTTCTGCTTTGTAAGGCTGAGATGTCAATGTAGAGCGACAACTACAGGGTTACGTTGCGGTGGTTGAGTCAGACAATTGCGTTAGGCGGAGCGGAGTGGTGCATCGTCTCCCTCGTCATGGTGAGTCGGGCAGTGAGTCGTCAATATGATCCGTGCTCTTTGTTTTTTTCGGTAAAGTCACGTAGGTTTTTTTAACACCTGATGAAGGAAGCTTGTGTTGCCTCCGAAACGTCGTGATTCAATTGAGTTGTTTTATTTTATTTTATTGATTGTTTTACCTACGTGACTTTTTCCGAAAGAACCAAAGAGTATGAATCCTTGCAGTCACGAAAGCTTCAAATCTAGAAATATGTTCCGTGCTCTCTTCTGGGTGACCACATTCGCATGCTGTCAGACAGTTTTTTTTTAAATTTCCCATATGTGCATTGGGTATTGGCATCTGCTGCCGCCACCGTTACAGTGCGGATGGCGGTTTAAGGGTCGTAGCCCATAAGCTTGGCGGAATAACGAGGCCAGGGATCTGCATCATAATGTCTTGCACGAGATGTGTTTGTGACTTGTTGTGAAATGACAAGCACGTTACGCGTTAAGGCCATTCTATTCGCACGAAAACGGCGCAGAACTCACACTCACACCTCCCATTCCCCAGGCTACCGTGACCGTTTAAAGGTGAAGATCTACACTCGCTTTCCCCAATTATGGCAATTGGTAAATCTCACACATTCACCATAGGAAACCTAACAGGCCTGCAACACCGATTCTATTTTTGGGTGCTCTCGCCATCAAGGGGCAACAGTGGCGAGTGAACCTGCAACACCACACCACCGTGCTCGTGCCACGTTACCGAGGGCACCGTTCCACCTCTCCCGCTCACCCGTTTGTGTGCGGAGCGCGTGCTCCACGAAGAGCGGCGCTGGGCACCTCCCCGTCTCGGCTCCTGGCGTGGAGCTCTTCCCCCAGTAGCCAGGGCGTGCGCACGGCGGCCCCCGCCCGGCACGTGGGCCAACTCGGGCACCCACAGCCGCACGCAGAGGTCGCAAACGGGTTTTGATTCCTTACTCGTACCCGTACCCGGCCGCACCAGGGTTGCAAATGGGTACCCGTACCCGTACCCGGCCGGGTACGGGTACCCGTTCCTTACCCGTACCCTACCCGAAATGAGTGACAAACGGCTACTCACCAGTGACTCACGGCCTACCCGTACCCGTACCTAGCCGCACCAGGATCACAAACAGCTACCCGTACTCGTACCCGGCCGGGTACGGGTAGTCGGGTATCGGGTAGGGTACGGGTATCGGGTACCCGATTGCGACCTCTGGCCGCACGTACTCGCCCTGCCGCCGCCACCGCACCACCAACCGAAGCTCGGGGCCCGAGCTGCAGCGAACGCGTGCGTGCAAGAACGTGCGCGCGAGTGCGGTGTTCGTACGTCGGTTTTATGAGCGTGTGTATGTATGTTGAACTTCTTTCGCACCGTACGTAGCCAACCGTGCCCGTGTGTTTGTGTGGGAGTATATGCCCGTGCACGTGTGCGTTCGTGTTGCGTGGATTTGTACGCGCGTCCGACTGTGTTCGTGCGCAAGTTTGTGTTTTGCGCGAGCGAGCGTGCGTCTTCACGCGTTTGTGTGCGGTCGTGGGTGCTGCTGGCCACCCACCCCCTCGTGTACCGTTCCGGCCTTCATAGGTGCTCGCTAACAGCGCTTGCCCCTAACAGTCTGTCAAGGCTCCACGGGGGATCTTTTTGTCGTTTTGCTCACCGTGGGGTCGTAGCCAATGGCCTGCTTGATCATGCTGAACTTGCGCGGGTCATTGCCCACCCCGGGTCGCGCACTGCCGGTTCTCGTAGTTGCTGCCCACGTCGTGGTCGATCTGCGCAACGCGACAAGCGACTCCCCCCCCCCGTCCCTCGCTGTCCCCCCCGTCCCTCGCTGTCCCCGCCACGCGGACGCGAGACCCCCGGCCCCGCGGCACGCAACGAGGGGGGGGGGGGGGGGTCACTCCCTGCTGCTGCTACTGCTGCAGCAGGGCGCTCGTCTGCTGTCCGCGCTGACCGACTGACGGCAAATACGTCGACCCCAAAGGGTTCAAATCGGCGAGACTCCGACCGAAAAACCTTTTGGGGGGGGGACACTAAAAAACGAAAAATGCGCACAAACCAAAAATATAATTTAAAAAACTGATCAAATTTTACTTAAAATGTAAGTAAACGTTAAATGCAAGCCCCTAACCCAAGGAACTTGCCGCTCACACTCCGGTCAACGTCGTCATTGTGTCATTTCGTTCTATAGGACTGCACCCCTGGCCCTAATTTACCATCCCGACTGCAAACGGTGCAGATAGCAGATCGTTCTCACCGCGTTGATGTCACTGTGCAGTCAAACTGTGGTCAACATTCAGAAGAACATAGATCTTTTGTCCCTGAGGTTTTCTCCATTCCTCGCTCTCAAACGCCACCTCACTGAGTAATTCGTGCAAGAGACATTGAACTGTCACGCAGGCACGGGTGAGTCTACTTTTT